GTTCTTTATCGGGATTTCGTGCTTTACTTTGTCGCAAAATCCGTACGGTTCTCCTTCTCCAGTAAACAGTTTCGCATACTTTTTGCACAACTCGGTTATGTTTGGTTTCTTCGTCACAACGGCTGTTGCCACTCTAACCTCAGCCACCTCACTACTTTCATGTATTGAGAATGAACCGTACTTCGTGACCACCTTACCGCTTCTTAGGTCAACTATGGCTTTTACTTCTCTTAGGAAATCTGCTCCTAATATTGGTCTCGACAGGTTTGCGGTTACCACGAACGGAAAACTCATCTCCGAACCATCCACTTTTACGATACTGTTAGACACGCCCAATACCTCTAACATATGCCCTCCTATAGTGTGAACTGCGACTTTACACGGCTTAAAACTTTTACATTGCTCTTTACCTATTAACGAAACTGCTGCCCCTGTATCGATTAGGCACACTAAATCTAGTTCATTTACGTTCACTCTTGCATAGACTGCCCCTCTATCTACTAATGCAACAACCCCCAGATCCCTAGAGTAAGAAGGAAACACGTAACGTCTAAAATATCTCCGTTTTCGTCGTGTTGGACAGTTTATCTTTCAGTGTCCTGTCCCTCCACATGCGAAACACTTATCATTCCTTTTACGAATCACTCGTAATGCCGCAATCTCGTGCTGCAGTTCTTCAATCTTCTTCTCAATGCTGCTTATCTCCTGACTTCCGCACGCGACCGTAGCTACTGTTTGTGTCATCAACTGTCGCGTCACCTTTGCAAGCTCACTGATATCCATAGGTTGCGCGGTGTGTACCAGTCTCAGCTGCTGGGAAACGGCAACAGGCACGCTCTCGATAAACTGAGACGCCAACAACTGTGCCTCCGACTCCTCATCCAGATTTGGCAGCGCGCGACGCAGCAACTTGGTAAGCTCCACGGCCAGCACCAGCGGATCACCATCGATCGGCAACTTCGCCACTCGGAACTTCTGCAGTGCTTCCTCTCTGTCCACTGGGCTATCGAACTCCACGGTCAACCGCTCCGTGACTGCCTCCCATGTCGTCTTACCGCCCGCACCGTCCAGGCTGTCATATACAGCTTTCGCTCTGCCTCTCAGCAGCGTCCCCAGCACCACCGTCTTCGCCTTCGGCTCCTTCACCCCAACCAGCTCCGCCACAGCTTCGAACTCCTTCAGGAAGCTCAGCACATCTCCGTCCTCAAATTCCTTCGGCCATGGAATCTTCATCCTTGGAGGCAGCGACACCAAATGTTGCGAATGAGAACACAGGTGAGGACAACCAACTATGTATTTAGCACAAATTACAACGTTACTTGGTAAAATACAAAAACCATGCTATGATACACTATTTGCAAAATGTTCTTCAATTGCCTCAGACTTCATTGTTCCTGGATTTCCACACAAATTGCTTTTTATTTCTGTTCTTCTCTTCTTGATCTTCTCAATCTTCTGCTGTCAGATATTCTATTCCTTACTCACCATATATACTACTTATATCGATATCAGTAGCTCACACCACACTACCATCAAATGTTGTCCGCTAAGGAGGCAATTGAAATTTCTGAATCATGCCCTTGATGATCACGTTGTAGGGCTGGCACTATGTTAACCCCCCGTGTGCTATTCTTACCTCTGTAAAGACCAATCTATTCATTCGCTTCAAGCTACATTTTAACTTTGTCACTTATTCGCTCATTAGCCCTGACTGTTTTTACATGACTGTATGTGTGTTAATTACTTACCCTACTCATAGTGTCTCAAAATTGTTTTTATTTGACTACGAATATCGAGTCACGCCAAGTTAAATTGAGTTGGCTCACATGCTTTCTCAGATCCGTTTCGATTCTCTCTTTCCTCTTCGTTTCGTTTTTCCGATCGTCTGTCTGGATCGACGACTGAAAGGAATATACATGTTCAAAATCCATTCTCGTATTTGACTTATTTAATTCCATTATTCACTAATGCGACTAAAGTCGTTAATTATATACGATGATTGACAGCATGTATGTTTTGCCAGCAACCACTCATATATTTTAAATGAACCCAGATTTAGAGCCATTATAACGTAATACACCCTAATAGCAAAAAAAATCAATTAATTTTGGAACTGGGGTGCTCGACAAAATGCTAATGAACTCTGAAGCCTCCTAGGTTTGCTAACTTATAATGGAAGGTTTATCTAAGAATTTTCGGAGCTTGCAGCTCTCCTTCATACTTTATTAGGAAAGTATGTCACCTTTGGATGGATTGAATAGTGCCAATAATCTTTCGACCGGTTAAAAGAGTTGTATTCAAGGCTAATTTTAGCATGTCCCGACTATTATCCAAATGCTGATTATTTCATCTGAGATACCGATTGAAGTGACCTGGTTATTGATGCTTTTTCATCACAAGTTTCTTCGGAGAGAAAGCAAGGGGCTATTCGAGCCAACCAATCGGACTCTCAACCCTCCACTGAAATCATTTGCTAGAGGGGAGGAAGCTGGATTGTAGGACTTAGCTACCGATAGATGTTTGCTGGCATATCGCGGTAGAGTAAATATGTCTGCTGGGTGTACATCCCGCTTGTTATGAATAGGGAGAGATATGAGGCTTCCAGTTAAGTTTTTGACATTAACACTGCATCAAGGACCTCTGTCGGTAGCAGTCGCGGTCATGAATAATAATAATAATATACTTCTGCAATAGCAGGTACACGCCATTTTTACAGGCATGATCTACAATTTACAACATATACTGGTTCACAGTATGCATCCCAAGCAAGGTTGTTTAGTAATTATAATCTATAAAAGTTTTGATAAGGTTCTCTGAGGGATCATAACATGGCCTGAGTACATCTGGGTGTGGCGCCTAAACAGAAGACTCACTTGCAGGGACAATCAATAAACTACATAAATAATGGAATGGTCCTTATGAAATAACCACAGTCTTGACATAATCTACGTGTAAAATAAAACACGACAGAGACGATTTCCAGTTTTTTGTGATCGTTCATTATAATTGCCTAAAACCGGCACATGTCTGTATGTGATGTATAGTTCACCAAATTTTACACAGTTACTATTTTGAAAAATGATTCACGATTATGTTCGATTTTAATTTGTTACAGATCACAAGGTTGGAGTGGAGAATCAATCTTTATCTTGTAATTTCGTGTTACACTTTGTGTCCCGATACGATTGTTCATTTCTGCGTTCCTGTCAAACTACCACTTCAGTGTTTCTGTTGAAATATTACGATACCCCTTTGGGAATGTAGTTGCGAAAAGAAACTAATTTTTTCTGCGAGAATTACTGAAATTGGTTGAAGACAACGCTTAAATGAGGGAAGCCGTGTAACATTAGCAAAATGTCAAGATAGAAACGACTTTGGTTCGAAATTACGGATTAACTGATCGGTTGGATGTATTTTTATCTGTCCAATTCTAGTTATTTAAAGGAAAATTAAACCAAGAATTCATAGGCATCTCATCACGGGGATTTGTTTCAATGACGATCACAACCAACTGGCTGAGTTGCTTACGACAATATTAAAAGTGTTGCAACATTTTTGGGCCATCCTACACTACGTGGATCTCTCGACCATCAGTGTCAACCGTGCAAAACATTTACTAGCTGGATGAACACTAGTTGTGGTGGCAGTCTGAGAATAAGCCTCCAATTAACATACACTGCATCAAAATTGTTATCATCTAGTTTATTATACGGGGTTGTTTTGAGTGCTTTTTCTTTACCGTGATGATGCAACGGATGTTCTAATTTTACAACTAGTTACCAGTAGCACCTCCTATATTCGATCGTTCCCAGTCAGGTAGAAATCAGAAGTCAAACGAGAAGAGGCAGGAAAGATATATTTGATTCGTTACCAATATATCGAGGACCTTTTCTATAAGCTGGCTGATGAAACGTAGGAGCTGTGTCCCACGCCGTGTTGAAACGTGATCTGGTGCGGATGCATGACCGAAAGCCTTCAGCTAAACAAGTCCACTTAAACAACGTGGTCAGCATCCAATGTCGAACACTTAATGAACTATTGATTTTGGGGAATTATTTACAGCTACAACCGTTTCCTCAGTCACGTATCGCCGTATTCGTTCAGGGTATTAATATTAGTAAGTTATGATATGATACTGCCCTCAGTCCTTAAGAATATATAAAGGACTCCTACGAGTCCATTGGACCACCCTAGTCGTCGATGAATCTCAGAATTTCACTGCTCGCAAAGAGTTAAAGGTGTGCCTATATGTGGTTCTTCTATACTGTGTCTTCAGGTTGTGGATCCTGCCCCTAAGATTTATGTTAGAAATGAGCCTAAGTTGGCATTTAAGGGGATGACTGGGAGCACATACGATGCCAAATGTCGTCGTGAGGTCACCTTCGAGATTCTTACACTCTAATGGATAAAGATCGGGAGATTTGAAGAGTTCTACATAAAGCTCAAATTCGAGTTCCCGAACTAATTTCGTGACTCATCTGTGAATACGTTCCAATGTATCCTCATACTTTGGGAGTGAGGGGGAAAACACTATATTTCCATACTGTTGATAATTAAGTGGAAAATCCTACCGTCAAACTGACCCAAAATTCACCCCAACTTTACCAGTTCAAGGTTTGTTGAAAAGACACTTTTGTCGTAGTTAGTATAAAACTTCAGATCGTAGGGTACAACACTCTCAGGTTTTGTGCAATTTGAGATACTTCTATAGGGTAGCTATCTGAGTTGTAAGCGTAGTTTACTACATGTCTCATATGGACTACATTACACTTTGAAGTGCCAATTGTAAGTCAGTTGTTATCTGCATAACTATGAAGCCGAGTCAGGTCCTCCTTAAGTGCCAGCTATTCATCTTCGCTACAAACGTCTCTCCAAAGTTTCACCTCATCAGCGAGAAGTAACAAATCAGACGATACTTGGTAAGGCGGGTCGTCTATATAAATTAAGAGTCAACAAGTTATGCACATCTGTATCACAAGCGACAGAAGGGAGATCCTCCGAAAAAATAAGGTTCACCGTTTCACTTTAGACTTATGGGTAATGAAGGTGATTGTTCTAGGTGTTATTATCTCGGCAAATTCTAATACTAACTAAATTATCACGTTTTTCATTTTCTAAAAAAATGTTGCTAAAATCTTGCCTCTCTGTAGTCTAAAGCTCACTCCAACTACGCAGAACTAGGACTCAAGAAATGAATAAGTCACTGGTTTTGATGACCAAAGTTGAAATTGAACTTAACAAAACTTCCCAAAGACTGACCTATGTAAGGCGGGCTTGTGGAATTTTAGCTTCATCATGGGTTCTCTTGTTGTTGTGTCTGGTGGTTTCTCGTTCGAAAATTGTTACAGGTTTGTGGACCGTAAACTTATATTCAAATTTAAATAAGGAATAAACTCATCGAACAGAAAGGCTTCGAATTGCCTAAAGCCGTAAAGACTGGAACAACAATATGTGGTGTCGTTTTCAAAGTAATTATTAATAAATCTGACGAACGTTCCCTTAGAATGGAGTAGTTCTAGGTGCAGATACGCGGGCAACAGAAGGTACTGTAGTTGCTGAGAAGAACTGCTCAAAAATTCATCGCATTTCCGAAAATATATAGTATGTAGTTCTTCCACAAATAACGATTTAGTTGCTGTGGTGCTGGGACTGCAGCCGACACCCAAATGGTTACACTGATGATTTCTTCACAAGTCGAACTCCACAGTTTGAATACGGGCAGAACTCCTCGTGTTATCGCTCCACTTCGTCTCCTTAAACGCTATCTCTATCAGTACCAGGTAATCCAATTCTCTGTATTATTTTGAATCTATAGGGTTATGTTGGTGCTGCACTCGTATTAGGTGGTGTAGACTCAACAGGCCCTCATTTGTATAGTATTGCGCCTCATGGATCAACGGATAAATTACCGTACATCACTATGGGTAGTGGGAGTCTCGCGTGTATGTCTGTACTTGAATCAAGATTTAAATTTGATATGGAAGTAAGTTCCTTTGTCTGTGTTTGCGATTTGAATGTGTCCCAGTTTGAATACCTCTTTCTAATCCTACTTCTGTCATGAGAGAGCGTTACCACAGATGTTAGTTGTCTGAAACAAACCTCACTATTGCGAATGGTCCGCAACTAAACAACAGACCTTTTCAAGGTAATAGCTACTGTTGAGAATATGTGACGTAGTTGAAAGCCAAATATTTTAGTCATTAAAGGACTCATTCGTGGATGGATTCTTACGTACCTGTCAATGGAATTACAGGAAGTTCAAACTTTTATGCACGAATAATCGAGTTTTTCCTAATCTTACTGACATACTATAACGCAAGGCTCTTAAAAAATGATCATCAAGTCTAATCTGAGGATTTAATGGTTATGCGTATGTTAACTGTTATTATCCTCATAAGTAACAAGTTCTTAAATTTCAATGAAATCATGAACTAATCAATGTTAGACCACTGAAAACCTGGAAGCACTGGACGACCGTTCTATTCTAGTATGGGACTTAGCAGCATGCATCCACGATCCCTTACGCAGGATTCGAGCCCGACACCGGTCTCGTGCAGACGCTTAATCTTTAGGTGACTTGACCCACACCCAACCGTGTTAATGGCTTAGTGGACTGAAGATTAGGTGTCTGCGTAACCAGTCTCCGGTTCAAACGCCGCTCAAGGGGTCGTGGATGCGCGCTACGAATGTCCGGCGCCCTAACCCCTATTGGTTCTTAGTCTACTCCCGATCCAGTATTCCCATACAGAAGACTTAGTAAGCAAACATCTTTTTTATTGTATAGCAGTTCATCCCAATCCAAACACCAGCTTATGTACATGAATTTATGTCTTGGACACAAGCCATAAGCGCCAAAAAACGGAACAAAAGGTAAATAATAGCAATGGATAAAGAACAATAAAGCCTATAATATAGGAGATGTAAAAATATGATCTAATTATGTAACAATTAGACAAGGAAAATATAAACAATAATAGTATGTAAAGTAATCTTAACTTCCTCAATACTCTTCGCTACTATCCTTCCATACACGCCTTCCTTGAGATTCATTGGCAATCGGCTTTATTTTTCAACACATCAAGAGCCTAGCTTGAGTTCCTAATGACTACCTGTAACAATCACGTTTAAATGCAAGTGTAACCACTGGTTCATTTTGAAATGATCTATATGATTATTGTGTGTAGAATTGCCATGGGAGTAAGTTAGTTGAGTACATTAGCTACTTTACTCATCTTGGAAGTCATATCAACCCTTGTGGGATAGTGATTGACCAGATTTCGACACATCCGAAGAGCTCTCTTGCTTTTTACCTACTCTCATCATTCATGATGCTAGCATGATTTCTGTCTGCCAACAAGCTGGCGTGTATACTGCCCAGAAGCTCGCTTGGTATTACTGTGAAATATGGTCTGTGAAAGCAAAAGATATGGGTAGACTGTAGGTTTTTCACCAAAAATGTTTTCAAGGCAATGCTAAAGTTAGACATAAAGTACGAAGCAAAGATAGCAAATCTTATGAGGTCATGAGTCTTCATCAACTAAAGTTGTTGAAACATGTATTATCTATCCCCAACTACCATCCACCTCACACAGTGTTAGCTGGCATAGCACTAATTTGGAAAAAAGCCCATAAAGTCACCGACTATTGGACTGAGTCATTTTGGTAGGTGAAGATTATCTGATTGGGATCTGGGAGATTATCTCAAACGATAGTTAGAAACGTGAGGTCACACTTTTTATTCCTCAACTTCATCCTTCCTCGAATCATATAATCTCTGGCTAATGTTTCGTACCACCATTGATACTATCCCTACTATGGAATTTGTCTTGATTATCTCATCTCCGTGTCTATATGGTGTGCAAATTAAAGCCATTCCACATATTTCCAAGGTTCTATGTTGCTTATGGTTATTTGACTAATTAGTTCACTGATTACTAAACTAAGCACATTAACTTTATAAATAATAACTCTTCTTTACAATATTTTATCACTGTCAAATATTCATCATCTATCCAGTAATTGTCAGTGTTTTCGTTATTTTATGTCTCAAGAATAATTCAAATAATTAAGTGTAATACGACTGCACATATTTCCGACTTTCAGCAAGATGAAGCCGTAAAATTGGTACGTGATGGAATAGCAGCTGGAATATTCAATGATATGGGGTCTGGCAGTAATGTCGATATATGTATTATTACTAAAGATGGAACAACTTATATACGATCATATGACGAAGCTAATGTCAAAGGCAAGAGGTTTGTATAATTTTCGTCTTCATTTGCTGTCATTTCAAAAAAAGTTTCACTGATAAAAAGTGTTTTTATTTCATAGAGCTTTTTGAATGAATTCTCTCCACTTCACTCAAATTGTTGTTAATGAATAAGCATCTGAACACCAACTGTAGATGGGAATATATCATATATGTACGGCGATTGTCTATGTTTGTATGGTGAAACTTTACCAGATCATTTTTGTCTAAATATATGACTCAGTATTATAAGTGTGGTCGATTATCATTTATTATTTATTCGAACACATAAACATTGTTAAAAAGGGGCACTAAAATATTTATGCACCACACAACATTTATATGAGGGTTGAAATATTGCCCGGTCGCCCAAACCAAAACAGGTGATTTTCTTAGGGGGCTGTTCCCCTAGCCTTTAACCTAAGGATCTAATCCACAAGTCAGTGGGTCAAGGTTAAGATATGCAGTCACATGGTAGCCGGTAACCAACAATAGGTTCATACTCCATTTGTTTCCTCAGGATCCTGAAACCTATATGCACCACTGGTTTGTAATTAAGGTTTTCCAACTCCCCTATGTGGATCTTTCGTACCCACCGACTCGGTTTAAGCGCCGAGCATTCACTTTGTGTCCTATTAATTCCGTAAACAACATCCCTTCCTTGATGAGGCAATGAGCAAGACTTCCTTTGCAGTGGCTGTATATATGTGGTTATATGAGAGCATTTCGAGAGAGTGAGTGGACTCTTCCCACCCTTGGCCGCATCAGGGCATTCGGAAGCATTGGACTTCTCATATTCATCTGGTTAAGTGCATGGGTTACAAAGTCACATTTTTTTATCCATTACAAATTAAGTAATAACTCTAAGCTTATGGCATACAAACTCCTGTATGTGGTAGTTACTTTGTCGTATTTTTCAAAAATCATCTAACGACTATCTTTAGTTTTCCGAACATAAACTTTATTCGAACATAAACGAATTGTGTATTTTCATATTTATTGTTAGAATAATCCAGTCAACAAATGCATTGGACTTTGATGTTTGGTTTCTATTACTTATGTGTAATTTTCCCTCTCTGTTTATACGTTTTACTTTTATTTCCTGTCAAAATATGAAACTAATTCCATTGTCAGCTAAAGTCCTCAACTAACTATCCAAAACATAATGTCCACTTTATGGTCTAAGTAATTAATGTTAACCACTTAAGTGTTTAGATGTTTAGTCCATTAGATCTTTTCATCTGTAACCAGTGTTTTGGTACCTGAAAAAAAGAAATCCTTATTACTTACAGCTCTATTAATTATCTCTTGGTGCAAATAGCATCATCTTTCTATAGATAACAAGCAGTGAGCGCAACTCAATCTTGTGAACTCGATGTTCTAATCTAAGTGGATAATCACCCCAAATGCCCTGATACGGCCGAGAGTGGGAAGAGTCCGCTCTCCCTCTCCAAATGCTCTCATATGGCCACGTGTATATAGCTTCTGCCAGGGAAGTCCAACTCACTGCCTTCTCGTGGCACGGGTGTTGTTTACGAAAGTGAGAGGACAAAAAGCGAATGTCCGGCGCTTTAACCGGGTCAGTGGACAAGGCGAGTCCATCTAGGGGAGTTGGAAAACCCTGATTCCAAACCAATGGTTCACATGGGATCCAGTATCCTGAGGGAACAAATGGCGTATGAATCAATCGTTGATCACCGGCTACCATGTGACTGCATCTCCTTACGATGCTCCACTACCTTGTGGATCAGATCTTTCGGTCAAAGGCTGGGGGTGTGGGCCCCTAAGAAAACCACCTGCTTCAGTCTGGGCACCTGGGCAGTATCACAGCCCTCACACAAATCGAATGAGATTTGTGAGGCGCATATTTATCTGGTGCTTCAGTGTACCAATAATTATGTGTTTAAATAAATAAATGAATAATAATAATCACCACTAGTCCTAGTGTTCTGCGTAATCCATTTAATCAGAAATCAAGCGGAGCACTAAAAAAATAACAATCTTTCTAAACCATTAAACAGTTTTGGCATTTGACAATTCAAATTTATATAACAGGTTGATAACTGTTTTGTGAAGACTAATGAAAATGGTAAATGAAACGAAACTCAAATCTAACGAAGTAACACCCGAGTTTTCTAAACTATACTACTTACGTTGCTTAGTTTTTACTACTACATATACTGATGTTTTGCCACAAAATAAAGTAGACTTGTCAGCTTTTACATTATAAAAGTTTGCATAAAATGATGTGACCACATAATAGTTTTACATTACGGTGTCAACAAATTGTCATTTCTACATTATATCCATCTTTATATCTTGTTATACTCAAAACTTGTTTCTCTACTTATTGATTTTTCAGAGCAGAAAAGTATAATCCTCCAGAAGGTACTACTTCTGTTCTCCACAAAAGTGTTCATCATGTTGAGTTCGATGTGGTCACAACACGTGTTGTTCGAGATATACCTGCTCATAGTGTTGAGACAATGGATCTTTCTTAAGTGTATTTTAAATTTTCTCGAATGAATTGTGATTCCTATGTTGTTTTCTTTATCGGTTTTTCAAATAAATTCACCGTAAAGACTTTCCTTTTTGTTATCGAAATGTTTTAACACAGTACAATATCCCTATTCTGTTTATTATGAATTACTAATATGTAATCAACACCATTCAAATTCATTCTATAGTAAAGTCATTGAATAAAAATACAAATATATAACAATGATTTAGTATTTATTAAGTAAACGTCAATAATTCCACTAGTTCTAGTACTCCATATAGATTAGTTAATTTTGCAGCTGATAGCGATTCGGTTAGCTGGCCAGTTTATTGACTCGCCTTTAATTGTTTCAGAAGATCGATAATTCAGGACGTAGTAACTGTTTTATTATTATTATTATTGACTAGTTTTGATACGTTATCATTCGTCTTCCACCACCAGGTACTCATTAACATGGAATTCAACACCCATTAGGTTATATAAGCCATGAAGTGTTGATTTCTCCAACTTCAAGCATCTTGACTTAAAGTTCATCGGGTCTGTATATGGAGGTTAATTATTTGGTTACACGCACTCGGTTTATATATATATATATATATATATATATATATATATATATATATATATATATACCACTTTTATCTGAGGTTACTGTTGTTGCTGACCTTATGCACTTGTACATCAGTGTAAGAAAACCTGAAATTAATATACCACTGCTCCAAAGAGTCAGAACAATCCAAACATTTGGAAGAATACATTTAGTCAAAAAGAATATGGTTTGTCCCCTACACACATCGGCTCAAGTTACTCGCTTGACATTTCCACAAACCGAAAATTAGTTAAGGAAATAAAGATAAGCTTAACAATGTTATTTAAAACTAGTTTAATAACGTGTTGCATCTCCTCACGATGCTCCACTGCCTTGTGGATCAAACCTTTAGGTCAAAGGCTCCGGGTGTGGCCCCCTAGGAAAACCACCTGCTTCAGTTTGGGCATCTGGGCAGTATCACAGCCCTCACACAAACCAAATGAGATTTGTGCGGCGCATATGTATTTGGTGCTCATTTGTACCAATATTTATGTGTTCAAATAAATAAATAATAACGTGTAAAATCCTTAAAGTAATAGAAATACTCATGGTTTTAATGTAGACATAACGAGTACATGTGACACCGTGACCGGTTTTAATGTCTGTCAGTTACAGATCACAATTTTTGCGTAGACAATACATAATAAGTCAAAATCCTCCGACGCAGCTCAGACTAACGGTCATTGACTTCATACATAAATCTAACTTTTCCCAAACATACCTGGGTTGGTCAGCATGTCGCATTACTACCATCAATGGTTAGGCTACAAATAGCAAGTTTCAACCATATAAATTGGTGAAACTCTACAATTCCATTAACCGATTTTTAATGCACGACTAAGCAAGTCTACCTAAATTACGTTCAACCAGTTTCGAATAACTAGGAATAATGAGATTAGTGACATTTTAGTCGGTTGTTAAAGTTTGAGAGAAAGTAAACATTTGATTTAATGGTACGTTTTATAAAACAATTAATACTAAGACTACTAGAACGGGTTGAGAAAAAAACCCTTCATCATCACTTGTAAGGGAAATCTCCCTGATCTATGTTACAAATGTGCTAATAATAAGACTGTTCAGGGGTTTATATAATAAAATGTTATGAATTACTGGTTCTAGTCATTCAACTCCAAAACTATGGGTTGCACTACTAAATCTTCATTTACTTCTATTGTGGCAGGATAACTGTTTTAAGCACCCACACAATTTGTATGGTTTGGAGTTCATCGCACATACTGGTGTTTGGCTAGAGTCATATTTGTGGAAGGTACTAGTTAGTAACTGATAGTCGTTTTCCATTATTTCATCTTGTTTAATGAAGGATGCGGATTCGTCTTAATCTATTTGAGTTCATTGCACAAACGGGGATCAATGTCTTATTTTTAAGTTTTATCTCTACCAGTATATGAAAGGAAACAGTAGAGGTTATCTACATGTTTTAACATAAGCATAAATATATGGTGACGTTTAACACTTAGTTGATGTTCATGTTTAGATTTCTGCCAACTCCTGCTAAAAGCTATACACAGGTGATAAGCAACCACAAGTAAATTTTTCTAATCCTACTCGAATTACGCACTCTTTATGAACTGTTATCACAGCTCTTCATATAAACCTTATTATATCTGATAAAATAAGATGTTGATATTTCCATTACTTAAATATTCTAAATACTTTGATCTTTTTATTCTGTGTAAGAAATACATGTTTTTTGGTTCATTAATGTTTTATTACCCTTACGTCCTACGACAGTCTTGATTATCAAACTAGTGTTGATAGCAATCCTCTGGAAAAATATTTCTGATTCATAACTTATGGAAGAAATACATAGCTTTGTTTCTGCATAAACTTTGAAATGAATTAATTAAAGTCATAATTGTTCATTTTATTGTAATAATTATATTTCTATTGACCAGTTCACGTACCATATATTCAATTGTCGCCTAAATTAGTTTATTTCAACAATTGAAAATGTTGCAGTGTAAATTACTTTTCAAATATTGGCTGATTAGTTCGACTTTGCTGTTTGATCGATATGAGAATACGTCACAATCCAGCATAGTGTTATTACTCAGTTGTTTAGAAATCTGTTTCGTACTTGAATGGATCATTATATCTTTTATTGCTTTTCAGTGATTTTCCACTTCTTAGTTTTGTTATTGGTATCAATCCCTGTATGCTTTTCAACGTAGTAATCTTAGTTTCGAAAACGAATAAATACGGGGGAAATTTTCTTTTTTTTCACAATTTAAAGTAGTTGTAGATACAATATCTTGGATTGTGCATCTCACTGATAGTAAGTTCTATTCAACAATTGCTTTTGTCTATCTATCTATATATTTTTTGCTCATTAACAGATAATTGAGTCAATGATTTTAGAGTTAGTACAGATGGTTTTGTGAAGGCTTCTGAATTCTGCATTTTACATCACGGGCTGACTATATGTAACTAGAAAACCAATGGGAACTAAGAAGTATGAGACAGCCTCTTCGTCCCAGTATGGAACTCCTCAACTGTGCTCAGCCACGACGTCACCAGGGGTCGAGATTAGGACTCATGCTCCCTACTGCGAAGCTGTTACCAGTGGATTTCAACTGTGTTGGGAACGAGGCAACTACTCACCAATGGTTTTGGATGATAGTCGCCTATTATGGAAAATTGATTGAAGTTCGAAACTGCCTTGATTGGTTTAATAATTTCGTACACGCATATAAATATTACTGTATATTAGAGTAAAGCCTGATGAGGATCTAATCGAAAACAATATTGTTCGTTTATATATGTTGTTCGAAATGAAAACCGTCAAATAGCCACTCAGTGGACTGAAGTTTAGCGCTTACTGTGAGGCTTGAAGCTCTTGAGTTCAACCCCTAATAGGTTAGTAGGTATACATTACTGAGCAGTCCTGTACTTGGACGAAACCGCTGCTCAGTGCTTCCTAGTTTTCTGTGGTTGTCTAGCTACAATCAATCCGTGATGTGAACCATGTAATGACTTTATACTCTACGTATGTTTGAAGTACATATCCTAGTACTATATTAATCATTAGGTATGGTCTTTGAATAGCAAAGATTTTAGAAGCAACTTGAATATAATATCTTCCTCGTAGGATGCTGATACGAAATGACTTTAAGGTTAAATGTACACTAAAGACTAATGCAACTTTCTATAAACTGATTATTATTATTATTATTATTATTATTATTATTATTATTATTATTATTATTATTATTAATAGTAGTAGTAGTAGTAGTAGTAGTAGTAGTAGTAGTAGTAGTAGTAGTATGTCAACTGAAAAAGAATAAAACAGAAATTATTATTTTTATGATTGTTTATATTAAATATTTGGTCAGGTAAGTAATGGTTTCCGTTTTGTTTTGTTGTTTAAAAAGGAAAAAAGCGACGAAAAACAGAAAAAGAGTAAGTTGATGCTTGAAATAATTGGCTACACATACATACGACGTAGAGTGTTGATTAAATAATGTGACGTTTTTAATTTTATTGTTCTTTTGGAAGAGAACCATACTTATACACAGACGGGGGTCAGTTTTTCGAGGTTACAAAACATGCTTCATGTGTATTCGCTTATTTTCAATAATAATAATAGTGATCAAACAACAGGTCAAATGTCAACATCAGTTGGAGAGTGTGAATAACTTGTACTTGGAACAATAAATGATAAACTTTGCTTTGTTATATACGATGATTCTGGTTCTATTAATTCCGCAACTAAAAATCCACGTACAATTGCTTCTCTGACTGATAATCGTTCAGTTTGGTCAGAGCTACTATCACCTTTTTTACTTATCGGTGAATCAGTACTAAATGGTGACTCGTAAACAGAATGTGTAAACAACATTTGACCGGTTTCTTTGTCAATTAGACCAGCTCGTATTGCAGATGCAACGTCCAGATTAATTGGGTTATGCTTGTTTTGACCTGCATCAGGTCTAATTGAATGTACTAGATACCTACTTCGTTGTATCTCTGGTGTCCTCCAAACTATTTTGGCATCCAATGATGGCTGCGTTTCTGTCGATATTCTATCACTAGCTAACCGAACTGCCTTAGAAATCACTGCATCTGCGAGTGGTATGGAAACTGTTGAATCTACTGATGATTGTCTAGGTCCAAGTTTTTCATAATCCCAGTATACTACTCTTAGTAGACCACGGTAAAATGCTTCACTTGCGCTAACGATTTTGCTTGTTCCAGGTACTATTACTCCAGTTATTTTGAGTTCCAGCAATTTCCCAGGACTATCAACCCAAACTTCATCTCGTATCTGGTTACTTGTGTCGCTATCCTTACGGCGTTCTGTATCTCGTATTTCTGCTGGATGCCATGTCACCATCGAAAATTCTCTGTCTTCAATTTTCTGGCTCTGATTTATGCGAATTACTTCTTCATCACTTAGGTAAGTTGGTAGATATGTGCAGTTATTATCAGTTGTCATCTGCCCGATAAACCGAGTTTGTGATTGGGCGTCTTTTAATTGCGTTATTGGAAGTGTTTGAGGTTGTATTTGTGAATGAACGGTCACTGGAATGTTAGCTTGACTCCCACATGTTGGACATGTATAAGTCTGGACTGTATGTTCAATACTGAATGTCGATTGCTCTTGTGTAGTCTCTGTAAATGTGGTAGTGGCCAAATTAAATGGATGAGAAGTACGTGTCTGCATACTTGTTATCCCGTGTTGACGATGATGACTTGTCAGTTCTTCTGTTGTCGGCGACAGTGGACTTACTACCGAGCCACTACGCGTCGGTGGTGGCTGATTTGTTCCTCCAGAAATGAAGCTACGGCCACGTTGTATCCTTTTATTTTTGTGTGGAGGTCGAGTGATAAGGAGAATATCACTAGTCTGTGTTCCTATATTCTCAAGATTTCTGATTTGACTCACTAAGTTACCCGTTGAAGTAAACTGTGTCTTCGCTTCAACCAGCCGTGATTTTTCTGCTGTATGTATACTTCGATCAAGACTAACTGAAAGCTCTGAGTATCTACCGATCGTTCGTAATCTAGAAAGCAAGTATTGCTCTCCCCATACTTTCAATAAATTCTGCAAACAAATTTCAGCATCAGTATATATGTCTGTCTCATGTTCATGCATTTCATGCAAATCGATATCCTGTGGGTGTGTTTCTCTCGGAAACTGTCCATGGGCTACACGAGAGTCAAGTGAACTTCCTCTTTCCCTATAGTCCTCTGTAAGTAATTCTTCATGTACTACTCGACGATCTCCACGTTTTTGCATAGTTGTGACCTTCGTTGTTCTTGGTCCAATTGTTGTTTCTTCATCAAACTCTTCATCTAGGTTACTAGGTAAACTTGATGTCAATAGATCGGTGTGTTCGACAATTTTTTTGGCTACTGGACCTCGACGACAATAAGATGACAGACCTTTCCTAGCTATTGTCGTCACAACTCTTTTTATATAATAGTCATCTTCAACCGCATCAGTTTGTACACTTATGTTTACTGACGAATCGATAGCTAACTTATGTTTCGAAGATTCAGTGGTTTGCGTTACTCCAGTAAGTGTTACTGGTGCAAATTGTACTCCCCAACTTACAACATCTGGTTTTGAATATTGATACGGTGTCTTGACCTTTCCATTTCCACTTCTGCTTGTTGATTCTGCATGAGTAAGCATATGAGTAGTTGGTCGTACACTAACTGAAACTGAATTTTGTTGAGGTGAGTAACTCCCACTTGAATCTATCATTTGAGGATGTCTTATTTCAAACTGAATATCTTGTAGAACATTTGTTGCTTGTGCTTCTGGCCATGGTGTTTCTTTTGGTAACCTTACATTTCTCCTTTCAGATGTCTGGATATCATGATAGGATGTTTGAGATTCTATAAGTCCTTTTTCAAAGGGCATAGTATCTACACACTTATCCGTAGTTAACTTTTCCAACTGAACAATTGTGGTTTTTTTCGAAAATTTTCCCACGCCATCAACTTCCTTACTTTCAGGTAATTGAATACTTCCCAACAAAAACGCATCAGTTTGAACATCCCTTGATTCACCCTTAGCTCTGTAACCGGACTCTCTGTATAGTTTCAGCACATCGGATGTGTCTGGTGCTTTTGGCTTGTCAGGAATAGTTTCCATTTGGAGAATACGTGTAAAGTAGTTTGATTTCACTGTACTGGATGCTGTTTGTTTTGTTCTTATTGATTTTTCTTCCGATTGCACGTCTTTATCAATCGTTTTCTTATCACTTCCCCGTGATATACACTTGAAACATTCAATATTTTTTAATAAACACTCATCTGTCTGTGTTATCTCAGTTAATGAGGTGGGCATTCCTTTGCAGATTGTCTCTTGAGGATGTATAAATTCTTCTTCTACTTGTTCACCAAGTTTAGATGGGTAGACCTGTAGTTTTTTGTTCTTAACTTGTAAAGGTGATGGAGAAGTCTCACTTGGTCTTGTTTCTTGAGTCCCTGTATCTACTGTAACTACTGGTCGTACATTACTCACCTGAACTCCAATACTTGACGACAAAGAAGTTCTCTGATGGTCGCGTAGACAACTATCCTGTATAGTTTGAGAAGATGTATTTTTTAATGTAGAAAATGAGGGACCACACTGAAGTTTCTTTTGATATTGTTGAGGAGTTATTTTTACTTGGCACTCTTGATCTATTTTTATTTTTGGTATTGCTTGTGAAGTGCTTGTCACGTTAGACACTGAATCATGAACCATATATGCATCCACTGATGAAACTGTTGTTTTATCAACCTGTCCAATACTTATATCCTGATATCTATAATCTGAGGTTTGTGTTCCTATAGAAGCTACATTTGTTGGAGTCTTCGGTGATGAAGGAGATATTAGATTTACTTGAAATTTCTTGTTTCGTTGATCCACACGTATGTTTGTTGAAAAAGGCACATCTGTTTGAATGCTAACAACTCTGGACGTTACTACATGACTAGTTGATGAAGGCTTCGTGAGTTCAGTATACTGACATGATACATCCGTATAATGAACTAAAGCAGTTTGAGTTAATTTACCGTCCAAGTGAACAGTAGACATAGTGTGATCTGTTTGGACTCCCAAATCAGTGGAATCACAACGAACCTGAAGTTTCTTCCCCTTCAAAATAGTTGGTTCCTTTTCATGTACGACACTCATTTCTTTCATTGCAATAGGTGGAGTTAAATCGACAGTTTGTGTTCCATCTACTGAATGTATTACTCCAGACTGAATTTGGACGTCGTATGTGATAGAAGATAACGTTGCTTGACAGAATGTATCAGCCAGTTTAGTGGGAATGGTTTGTGTTGATTGTGATGTATTTGGAAGAGTATGCATTGTCGATGAGATTGTTGGCTGAACAATTGGAGTAATTTGATCTGTTTGGACTCCCAAATCAGTGGAATCACAACGAACCTGAAGTTTCTTCCCCTTCAAAATAGTTGGTTCCTTTTCATGTACGACACTCATTTCTTTCATTGCAATAGGTGGAGTTAAATCGACAGTTTGTGTTCCATCTACTGAATGTATTACTCCAGACTGAATTTGGACGTCGTATGTGATAGAAGATAACGTTGCTTGACAGAATGTATCAGCCAGTTTAGTGGGAATGGTTTGTATTGATTGTGATGTATTTGGAAGAGTATGCATTGTCGATGAGATTGTTGGCTGAACAATTGGAGTAATTTGATCTGTTTGGACTCCCAAATCAGTGGAATCACAACGAACCTGAAGTTTCTTCCCCTTCAAAATAGTTGGTTCCTTTTCATGTACGACACTCATTTCTTTCATTGCAATAGGTGGAGTTAAATCGACAGTTTGTGTTCCATCTACTGAATGTATTACTCCAGACTGAATTTGGACGTCGTATGTGATAGAAGATAACGTTGCTTGACAGAATGTATCAGCCAGTTTAGTGGGAATGGTTTGTATTGATTGTGATGTATTTGGAAGAGTATGCATTGTCGATGAGATTGTTGGCTGAACAATTGGAGTAATTTGATCTGTTTGGACTCCCAAATCAGTGGAATCACAACGAACCTGAAGTTTCTTCCCCTTCAAAATAGTTGGTTCCTTTTCATGTACGACACTCATTTCTTTCATTGCAATAGGTGGAGTTAAATCGACAGTTTGTGTTCCATCTACTGAATGTATTACTCCAGACTGAATTTGGACGTCGTATGTGATAGAAGATAACGTTGCTTGACAGAATGTATCAGCCAGTTTAGTGGGAATGGTTTGTGTTGATTGTGATGTATTTGGAAGAGTATGCACTGTCGATGACACTGTTGATCGAACAATAGGGGCATTATCAATATGATCAACGCTTACATCAACAGTGTGGAATACTGGTCGTTCCTCTGGAATAGTCTGAACTGACTGTGCACAGTGGATAGTGCCGGATTGAGTCACAACATCGAACGTGGTTTTTGGTAGTACAGTAGGGACTTGAGCCATCGTATCAGTCTGTGTGCTCGTGTTCTCAACTGATTGACGCATTGTCGCCTGAAGCTTCTTGCCTACTAATGAAGGTGATTTCTCAGTATGATCAAGTCCTACACTGACAGTGTGGAATACTGGTCGTTCCTCTGGAATAGTCTGAACTGACTGTGCACAGTGGATAGTGCCGGATTGAGTCACAACATCGAACGTGGTTTTTGGTAGTACAGTAGGGACTTGAGCCATCGTATCAGTCTGTGTGCTCGTGTTCTCAACTGATTGACGCATTGTGGCCTGAACATTCTCGTATAATACGGACTGTAATTTCCCAGTAAGATCTACTCCTACACTGACAGTGTGGAATACTGGTCGTTCCTCTGGAATAGTCTGAACTGACTGTGCACAGTGGATAGTGCCGGATTGAGTCACAACATCGAACGTGGTTTTTGGTAGTACAGTAGGGACTTGAGCCATCGTATCAGTCTGTGTGCTCGTGTTCTCAACTGATTGACGGATTGTCGCCTGAAGCTTCTTGCCTACCAATGAAGGTGATTTCTCAGTATGATCAAGTCCTACACTGACAGTGTGGAATACTGGTCGTTCCTCTGGAATAGTCTGAACTGACTGTGCACAGTGGATAGTGCCGGATTGAGTCACAACATCGAACGTGGTTTTTGGTAGTACAGTAGGGACTTGAGCCATCGTATCAGTCTGTGTGCTCGTGTTCTCAACTGATTGACGCATTGTGGCCTGAACATTCTCGTATAATACGGACTGTAATTTCCCAGTAAGATCTACTCCTACACTGACAGTGTGGAATACTGGTCGTTCCTCTGGAATAGTCTGAACTGACTGTGCACAGTGGATAGTGCCGGATTGAGTCACAACATCGAACGTGGTTTTTGGTAGTACAGTAGGGACTTGAGCCATCGTATCAGTCTGTGTGCTCGTGTTCTCAACTGATTGACGGATTGTCGCCTGAAGCTTCTTGCCTACTAATGAAGGTGATTTCTCAGTATGATCAAGTCCTACACTGACAGTGTGGAATACTGGTCGTTCCTCTGGAATAGTCTGAACTGACTGTGCACAGTGGATAGTGCCGGATTGAGTCACAACATCGAACGTGGTTTTTGGTAGTACAGTAGGGACTTGAGCCATCGTATCAGTCTGTGTGCTCGTGTTCTCAACTGATTGACGCATTGTGGCCTGAACGTTCTCGTATAATACGGACTGTAATTTCCCAGTAAGATCTACTCCTTCACTGACAGTGTGGAATACTGGTCGTTCCTCTGGAATAGTCTGAACTGACTGTGCACAGTGGATAGTACCGGATTGAGTCACAACATCGAACGTGGTTTTTGGTAGTACAGTAGGGACTTGAGCCATCGTATCAGTCTGTGTGCTCGTGTTCTCAACTGATTGACGCATTGTCGCCTGAAGCTTCTTGCCTACCAATGAAGGTGATTTCTCAGTATGATCAAGTCCTACATTGACAGTGTGGAATACTGGTCGTTCCTCTGGAATAGTCTGAACTGACTGTGCACAGTGGATAGTGCCGGATTGAGTCACAACATCGAACGTGGTTTTTGGTAGTACAGTAGGGACTTGAGCCATCGTATCAGTCTGTGTGCTCGTGTTCTCAACTGATTGACGTATGGTTGCTTGAAGTTTCTTGTTCACCAGCAAAGGTGATTTTTCACTGTGAATCACACTGACGTCTGCTGTATGGAATATTGGTTGTTCTTCTAGAATAGTTTGTGTGGACTGTGTCTTGACTACTATACCTGATTGCGCTTGTATATCAAATGTTTTTGTCTTAGTCTTTAGCCATTCTGCTTGTGTTTGCTTATGTTCGACTTGCGGAGCTCGAGAGAACGCCTGAGGAACGGGTTTGACAGGTTGTACTGTTACTTCTTCGGTTTGCAAACAAACATCGTCAGATGGATGATATACCACAGCTTGAAGTTTCTTGTTGACTGTTTGTATGTGATGTGGTTCATGAATCACACTCGCATCCTTTATAGCTGGGATTATTTTCGGTTCGTGTGTAGTTTGTGTTTCTGAATTTATCGTGACTGATCCTGACTGTGTTTGCACATCAAATGTAGGTTTTGTTGCCGTTGGATAAACAGAGTTTCCTTCTGGTTCTGTTTGTATTATGGTGTCTTTCATTTGCGACATTATGGTTGCTTGCAATTTCTTGTTTATTTGTCGTGTTTTAAATTCATGAGTTACAGTAACGTCGGTTACGTTCACTGTGGCTTGAACCTCTTCACGTGTTTGTATTCCTTGTTCTTTTTGAATTATTCCTGATTGTGTCTGTACATTCATCTGGTGTTTCTGCTTGATATGTATCAGTTGACTTTCATCTGTTTGGACATAACGATAAGCCACTGCATGTCGAGCATCTGCTTGAATATCTATATTTATCATTGTTCTTTGAACTGCCTCATACTGTGTACTATTTTCTTTTGTCATTCCGAACAGTTTATGGTCTAATTTTGTCTGCAATCCCTGTGATTTGCAAATGATTCCTGATTGCGTTTCTACATCAATTGTTTTAGATTTGATATGCGCGTAGGTCTGACGGTTAAATAATCCCATACTCTCAGTCTGTGATGGTCTTTCATGTGTCTGTGATGAGTGATAAATTGTTTGCATCGTGGGTACTGTTACAACTGGTATTGATTCGTATGTTTGCGCGGCTGCCTCTCGAATCGACTGGGAAACAGTTACTTGTAACTTTTTATTTATTAATTGTGTAGTCGTTGGTGCGTGCTGAACGCTTCCTTCTTTCGTTGTCGTTGATGGTAAGCTAAAAGTTTGAGTTTCTTGCTGACGGCATAATACGTCGAATTGCGCGTCTACATCCCGAATATCCACTACATTTTTATCTTTTATCACACATTGTATTTCAACATTTCTACATTCAACTTGTGTACCAACTTGAACACCTTGAGAGAAACAGGGATTTATTGACCCAACATGATCAACAGCAACATCGTTCAATAATAAATCTCCCGAAATAAGAACAGCTTGACAACCAACATTAAGAGATAGAGTACCAGATTGAGTCACAACATCGAACGTGGTTTTTGGTAGTACAGTAGGGACTTGAGCCATCGTATCAGTCTGTGTGCTCGTGTTCTCAACTGATTGACGCATTGTGGCCTGAACGTTCTCGTATAATACGGACTGTAATTTCCCAGTAAGATCTACTCCTTCACTGACAGTGTGGAATACTGGTCGTTCCTCTGGAATAGTCTGAACTGACTGTGCACAGTGGATAGTACCGGATTGAGTCACAACATCGAACGTGGTTTTTGGTAGTACAGTAGGGACTTGAGCCATCGTATCAGTCTGTGTGCTCGTGTTCTCAACTGATTGACGGATTGTCGCCTGAAGCTTCTTGCCTACTAATGAAGGTGATTTCTCAGTATGATCAAGTCCTACATTGACAGTGTGGAATACTGGTCGTTCCTCTGGAATAGTCTGAACTGACTGTGCACAGTGGATAGTACCGGATTGAGTCACAACATCGAACGTGGTTTTTGGTAGTACAGTAGGGACTTGAGCCATCGTATCAGTCTGTGTGCTCGTGTTCTCAACTGATTGACGGATTGTCGCCTGAAGCTTCTTGCCTACCAATGAAGGTGATTTCTCAGTATGATCAAGTCCTACATTGACAGTGTGGAATACTGGTCGTTCCTCTGGAATAGTCTGAACTGACTTTGCACAGTGGATAGTGCCGGATTGAGTCACAACATCGAACGTGGTTTTTGGTAGTACAGTAGGGACTTGAGCCATCGTATCAGTCTGTGTGCTCGTGTTCTCAACTGATTGACGCATTGTGGCCTGAACATTCTCGTATAATACGGACTGTAATTTCCCAGTAAGATCTACTCCTACACTGACAGTGTGGAATACTGGTCGTTCCTCTGGAATAGTCTGAACTGACTGTGCACAGTGGATAGTGCCGGATTGAGTCACAACATCGAACGTGGTTTTTGGTAGTACAGTAGGGACTTGAGCCATCGTATCAGTCTGTGTGCTCGTGTTCTCAACTGATTGACGCATTGTCGCCTGAAGCTTCTTGCCTACTAATGAAGGTGATTTCTCAGTATGATCAAGTCCTACATTGACAGTGTGGAATACTGGTCGTTCCTCTGGAATAGTCTGAACTGACTGTGCACAGTGGATAGTACCGGATTGAGTCACAACATCGAACGTGGTTTTTGGTAGTACAGTAGGGACTTGAGCCATCGTATCAGTCTGTGTGCTCGTGTTCTCAACTGATTGACGCATTGTCGCCTGAAGCTTCTTGCCTACCAATGAAGGTGATTTCTCTGTATGATCAAGTCCTACATTGACAGTGTGGAATACTGGTCGTTCCTCTGGAATAGTCTGAACTGACTTTGCACAGTGGATAGTGCCGGATTGAGTCACAACATCGAACGTGGTTTTTGGTAGTACAGTAGGGACTTGAGCCATCGTATCAGTCTGTGTGCTCGTGTTCTCAACTGATTGACGTATGGTTGCTTGAAGTTTCTTGTTCACCAGCAAAGGTGATTTTTCACTGTGAATCACACTGACGTCTGCTGTATGGAATATTGGTTGTTCTTCTAGAATAGTTTGTGTGGACTGTGTCTTGACTACTATACCTGATTGCGCTTGTATATCAAATGTTTTTGTCTTAGTCTTTAGCCATTCTGCTTGTGTTTGCTTATGTTCGACTTGCGGAGCTCGAGAGAACGCCTGAGGAACGGGTTTGACAGGTTGTACTGTTACTTCTTCGGTTTGCAAACAAACATCGTCAGATGGATGATATACCACAGCTTGAAGTTTCTTGTTGACTGTTTGTATGTGATGTGGTTCATGAATCACACTCGCATCCTTTATAGCTGGGATTATTTTCGGTTCGTGTGTAGTTTGTGTTTCTGAATTTAACGTGACTGATCCTGATTGTGTTTGAACGTCGAATACTTTTGGTGGCAAGATAACCGGTGGTGGTCTCTCTACCATCGTCTGAGTCTCAGTGTTAATTGTCGGTGGTTGTACTATTGCTTGTAATTTTTTGTGTACAATTGGCTCTGGACGTTTCTCGTGTTGTGTAATCAAATCTTTCATTTCGATTATTGGCCTATGTTCTTGTGGTGTTTGTGTTTCTGAATTTAACGTGACTGATCCTGATTGTGTTTGAACGTCGAATACTTTTGGTGGCAAGATAACCGGTGGTGGTCTCTCTACCATCGTCTGAGTCTCAGTGTTAATTGTCGGTGGTTGTACTATTGCTTGTAGTTTTTTGTGTACAATTGGCTCTGGACGTTTCTCGTGTTGTGTAATCAAATCTTTCATTTCGATTATTGGCCTATGTTCTTGTGGTGTTTGTGTTTCTGAATTTAACGTGACTGATCCTGATTGTGTTTGAACGTCGAATACTTTTGGTGGCAAGATAACCGGTGGTGGTCTCTCTACCATCGTCTGAGTCTCAGTGTTAATTGTCGGTGGTTGTACTATTGCTTGTAGTTTTTTGTGTACAATTGGCTCTGGACGTTTCTCGTGTTGTGTAATCAAATCTTTCATTTCGATTATTGGCCTATGTTCTTGTGGTGTTTGTGTTTCTGAATTTAACGTGACTGATCCTGATTGTGTTTGAACGTCGAATACTTTTGGTGGCAAGATAACCGGTGGTGGTCTCTCTACCATCGTCTGAGTCTCAGTGTTAATTGTCGGTGGTTGTACTATTGCTTGTAGTTTTTTGTGTACAATTGGCTCTGGACGTTTCTCGTGTTGTGTAATCAAATCTTTCATTTCGATTATTGGCCTATGTTCTTGTGGTGTTTGTGTTTCTGAATTTAACGTGACTGATCCTGATTGTGTTTGAACGTCGAATACTTTTGGTGGCAAGATAACCGGTGGTGGTCTCTCTACCATCGTCTGAGTCTCAGTGTTAATTGTCGGTGGTTGTACTATTGCTTGTAGTTTTTTGTGTACAATTGGCTCTGGACTTTTCTGGTGTTGCATAGTTATGTCTCTCACTTCGACAACGGTCTTCTGTTCACCTGGCGTTTGTGCTGCCTGTGTCTTAAGTATACTTCCAAACTGGGTCTGAACATCGAATGTTTTCAATTCAATTGACGTAAATGTTTGTTGATCTTTTATTCTCGCTCTTTCAGTTTGTGTTGGTGTTTCTTGTGTTTGTGGTTCATGATGTGTCGTTTGCACCATAGGCATAACAACAGGCTGTGCTAAGAAATCTGTTTGTGTAGCCATGTTCTCTAGTGGTCGGACGACTATGGCCTGTAACATCTTGGTAACGGATTGAACAGGTCTTGTTTCATGATACACACTCGCATCTTTAGTCGCAACCACTGGCCTATGTTCTTGTGGTGTTTGTGTTTCTGAATTTATCGTGACTGATCCTGATTGTGTTTGAACGTCGAATACTTTTGGTGGCAAGACAACCGGTGGTGGTCTCTCTACCATCGTCTGAGTCTCAGTGTTAATTGTCGGTGGTTGTACTATTGCTTGTAGTTTTTTGTGTACAATTGGCTCTGGACGTTTCTCGTGTTGTGTAATCAAATCTTTCATTTCGATTATTGGCCTATGTTCTTGTGGTGTTTGTGTTTCTGAATTTAACGTGACTGATCCTGATTGTGTTTGAACGTCGAATACTTTTGGTGGCAAGATAACCGGTGGTGGTCTCTCTACCATCGTCTGAGTCTCAGTGTTAATTGTCGGTGGTTGTACTATTGCTTGTAGTTTTTTGTGTACAATTGGCTCTGGACGTTTCTCGTGTTGTGTAATCAAATCTTTCATTTCGATTATTGGCCTATGTTCTTGTGGTGTTTGTGTTTCTGAATTTAACGTGACTGATCCTGATTGTGTTTGAACGTCGAATACTTTTGGTGGCAAGATAACCGGTGGTGGTCTCTCTACCATCGTCTGAGTCTCAGTGTTAATTGTCGGTGGTTGTACTATTGCTTGTAGTTTTTTGTGTACAATTGGCTCTGGACGTTTCTCGTGTTGTGTAATCAAATCTTTCATTTCGATTATTGGCCTATGTTCTTGTGGTGTTTGTGTTTCTGAATTTAACGTGACTGATCCTGATTGTGTTTGAACGTCGAATACTTTTGGTGGCAAGATAACCGGTGGTGGTCTCTCTACCATCGTCTGAGTCTCAGTGTTAATTGTCGGTGGTTGTACTATTGCTTGTAGTTTTTTGTGTACAATTGGCTCTGGACGTTTCTCGTGTTGTGTAATCAAATCTTTCATTTCGATTATTGGCCTATGTTCTTGTGGTGTTTGTGTTTCTGAATTTAACGTGACTGATCCTGATTGTGTTTGAACGTCGAATACTTTTGGTGGCAAGATAACCGGTGGTGGTCTCTCTACCATCGTCTGAGTCTCAGTGTTAATTGTCGGTGGTTGTACTATTGCTTGTAGTTTTTTGTGTACAATTGGCTCTGGACTTTTCTGGTGTTGCATAGTTATGTCTCTCACTTCGACAACGGTCTTCTGTTCACCTGGCGTTTGTGCTGCCTGTGTCTTAAGTATACTTCCAAACTGGGTCTGAACATCGAATGTTTTCAATTCAATTGACGTAAATGTTTGTTGATCTTTTATTCTCGCTCTTTCAGTTTGTGTTGGTGTTTCTTGTGTTTGTGGTTCATGATAGGTAGTTTCCACCACTCCTTTATCCACTTCGTGCTGCATTCCAGTTGATCGTTTTTCTGTTGTTGGCTTGTAATCTAATAATGTCTGGAATGCTTGGGAGATATTTATCGTCCCTGACTGTGTTTGTACGTCATAATTATTACTTCTGATTCGAGTGAATGTTTGTTGGCTCCTCATTTTTACTTCAAAATCCGGTGAACTTTCTATTGTTTGTGTTTCTTTTGACCTGCATGTTACGAATGTTTGAACGTCTTTTTCTTTAGTTACTTTATCGAATTGAGTTGTTACATCAAATATTTCTACCTGTTTCTCTTTCACGAGGTTCGTTGATATTAAAGTTTCTCTTGTTATCGCTTCTGTTTGCGTATCTATATGTTTCAACGTCTGTTTGATATCTGCCTGTACTTGTATACTTTGTTGCTCTATGTTTGGTGGTACTTGGTATGAACCCAGGTGCCTTACTGGAACTCCTGGTCTTGGATCTACTCCCACTGATAAAGTTGAAGGAATCCCTGTTTGTGAGGATACCTCATGGTTTACCTGTCCGACCTGACATATAACATCGTTGACAGCCTTCGACACAAACTTCGGTTCCATTCGGAATCCCATATCTGTCTGAATCTCCTTGGTGTATGTTGGTGTTTTGGCACTTTGAGTTCCCGCTAGTAGCATTGAAGTTTTATGGGGTTCATCTATCTGGATCCCTGAGGATTCCATAACACTTCCTACTTGACATACTACATCAGATGATGGTTTGCGTAGCATATGCTTAATTAAGTCAGCCTGTTGGTAGGCATCTACAGTGTTTCTGTACGATGTAATCGGTACATCCTGAGTTTCTATTGCTTTCACATATACCGGTTGTTCTTGTACCAGTTCAGCCTGTGTTATTTTCGATGTGTGAACAATTCCTGTTTGCGTCACGACATCGTTGGCCGTTTTCTTTTCCCACACGTGAATCGGATCAATGCCAGTATCCTTGTGTGCCGGTCTAGTAGTGACGTATTCAACTGACTGTGTGGATGCTTCATGGTTTACCTGTCCGACCTGACATATAACATCGTTGACAGCCTTCGACACAAACTTCGGTTCCATTCGGAATCCCATATCTGTCTGAATCTCCTTGGTGTATGTTGGTGTTTTGGCACTTTGAGTTCCCGCTAGTAGCATTGAAGTTTTATGGGGTTCATCTATCTGGATCCCTGAGGATTCCATAACACTTCCTACTTGACATACTACATCAGATGATGGTTTGCGTAGCATATGCTTAATTAAGTCAGCCTGTTGGTAGGCATCTACAGTGTTTCTGTACGATGTAATCGGTACATCCTGAGTTTCTATTGCTTTCACATATACCGGTTGCTCTTGTACCAGTTCAGCCTGTGTTATTTTCGATGTGTGAACAATTCCTGTTTGCGTCACGACATCGTTGGCCGTTTTCTTTTCCCACACGTGAATCGGATCAATGCCAGTATCCTTGTGTGCCGGTCTAGTAGTGACGTATTCAACTGACTGTGTGGATGCTTCATGGTTTACCTGTCCGACCTGACATATAACATCGTTGACAGCCTTCGACACAAACTTCGGTTCCATTCGGAATCCCATATCTGTCTGAATCTCCTTGGTGTATGTTGGTGTTTTGGCACTTTGAGTTCCCGCTAGTAACATTGAAGTTTTATGGGGTTCATCTATCTGAATCCCTGAGGATTCCATAACACTTCCTACTTGACATACTACATCAGATGATGGTTTGCGTAGCATATGCTTAATTAAGTCAGCCTGTTGGTAGGCATCTACAGTGTTTCTGTACGATGTAATCGGTACATCCTGAGTTTCTATTGCTTTCACATATACCGGTTGCTCTTGTACCAGTTCAGCCTGTGTTATTTTCGATGTGTGAACAATTCCTGTTTGCGTCACGACATCGTTGGCCGTTTTCTTTTCCCACACGTGAATCGGATCAATGCCAGTATCCTTGTGTGCCGGTCTAGTAGTGACGTATTCAACTGACTGTGTGGATGCTTCATGGTTTACCTGTCCGACCTGACATATAACATCGTTGACAGCCTTCGACACAAACTTCGGTTCCATTCGGAATCCCATATCTGTCTGAATCTCCTTGGTGTATGTTGGTGTTTTGGCACTTTGAGTTCCCGCTAGTAGCATTGAAGTTTTATGGGGTTCATCTATCTGGATCCCTGAGGATTCCATAACACTTCCTACTTGACATACTACATCAGATGATGGTTTGCGTAGCATATGCTTAATTAAGTCAGCCTGTTGGTAGACATCTACAGTGTTTCTGTACGATGTAATCGGTACATCCTGAGTTTCTATTGCTTTCACATATACCGGTTGCTCTTGTACCAGTTCAGCCTGTGTTATTTTCGATGTATGAACAATTCCTGTTTGCGTCACGACATCGTTGGCCGTTTTCTTTTCCCACACGTGAATCGGATCAATGCCAGTATCTTTGTGTGCCGGTCTAGTAGTGACGTATTCAACTGACTGTGTGGATGCTTCATGGTTTACCTGTCCGACCTGACATATAACATCGTTGACAGCCTTCGACACAAACTTCGGTTCCATTCGGAATCCCATATCTGTCTGAATCTCCTTGGTGTATGTTGGTGTTTTGGCACTTTGAGTTCCCGCTAGTAGCATTGAAGTTTTATGGGGTTCATCTATCTGGATCCCTGAGGATTCCATAACACTTCCTACTTGACATACTACATCAGATGATGGTTTGCGTAGCATATGCTTAATTAAGTCAGCCTGTTGGTAGGCATCTACAGTGTTTCTGTACGATGTAATCGGTACATCCTGAGTTTCTATTGCTTTCACATATACCGGTTGCTCTTGTACCAGTTCAGCCTGTGTTATTTTCGATGTGTGAACAATTCCTGTTTGCGTCACGACATCGTTGGCCGTTTTCTTTTCCCACACGTGAATCGGATCAATGCCAGTATCCTTGTGTGCCGGTCTAGTAGTGACGTATTCAACTGACTGTGTGGATGCTTCATGGTTTACCTGTCCGACCTGACATATAACATCGTTGACAGATTTAAGCGTACGTTTATATGTCTTTTCCGTTAAAACATCTACCTGACTAGAGGTTGAAGCCTTTTGGATTTCATATTGGTTTGCTGAATCTTTAATTGTTGTATTTTTTAACTTTTCTGTTGCGTTAGTTTGTGTTGATTTTGTCATTTGAACCTTACCTATTTGACATATTATATCACTTTTTTTAATCTCTTGTTTTATCACTTCTTCCTTACTGACCATCATTGGTGACATCTCTGTGCTAGCGTTAATTGTTATCCTACCTATTTGACATGCGGCCTCATTTGTGTTTACTGTGTGCTGCCATGCCTTTTTCATTTCTGCTTGTACACCGAGGTTTTTCTTATTTCTTTCAATATTCTTTACTTCTGTTTGTGTTCCAGTTGTTTGTGTAACCTGTCCTATTTGACAGATGGCATCTAGTACGCTGTATTTTCGTGCAGCTTTTTGTGATTCAGGTATGTCCATTTTCACGACGGTTTCTGTGATGTATTCCGACTGAGTGGAATTATTCTTAGTGATAACACCAGATTGAACTACCGCATCTAAAGTGGGCTTTTTAAGTGTTTGTTGTAGTTTGTAATGTTCTAATGTCTGACATGAAGCATTTGCTGTAATTTGACCTATTTGACATAATACTTCTTTAACTGAACGCTTAGGACTGTATCCATGATAGTCATCTTGTGTGCCTGCATCGACTTTTGATACTCCAATTTGAGTTATTGCATTTCTTACTTGTTTTCTTTCAGGAATCGTCGCTGGCATAAATTGTCTTTTAGATATAGATAAATCTATTTCATTACGACCACCATCACCGTCGTCACGAGAAATTTGAGTTCCTGTTGTTTTGGTTGTAACACCAATTTGTGTAATGGCATCAAGTACTGGACGTGGGATTGATTCTGATCTTGTTCTAGACGATAATCGCGATGTTTCTCTAACTATAGATTGAGGTGATCTTGCATCTATTGGATACATTTGATTATTACCTGCCCAATTGTCAGATATTGTACTAGATTTTAAACTAGAACTCATTCTAGAATTGGATATGCTAGAATCAACATTCGGTTCATGCTCATATCGGCTACTCCATCTTTTCACACGATTTATCAATTGATCCAACTGAGACTGACTCTCATGTTGTAACTGACTAAATAAGGAAACAAGAAAAGTATAAAAATATAAACCATTATATTAGTTTAAAGTAAATTGTATTTAATTATGAATGATCTCTCTTCGACCCTTTTTTTGGAATATAATTTGGATAATTCTTATCCAACAAATTTAATAATGTTTTAGCGAATTTTATTTGAATCTCTATTTTTTCCAACCTTTTGACGTATTTCCTATTATAATACATAGATCCAAGCTTTTATTATACTTTTCAAATCTAGTACACCTTTCATCACACTATCAATTTCTAATATGTTTCTTTTTATATCAGTTACTCATAAACTGGCTTGAATTGTTTAATATTTTCACATACTAAAGTCTGATGAGGATTTATTTGAAAGTAATACTGATAATTGTCATGTGCGTACTATTGACTAACTCCGAGAGGTAATTTTGGGGTCCTTGTAAGAAGCCGTGACCAGTGGAGCCAATCCGTGTAGAGTGTGAGGCAGTTGCCCATCGAAGAGAGTGGAAAATGGTCGCACAATGTCGTAAATCTATTGGATCTAGACATTCACACGGTTAGACTGAGACTCAGTGGTCTAGAGATTAGGCGTTTGTGTGTGAGACCAAAGGTCTGGGGTTAAATTTCCGTGTGTGTGGTCGTAGATACACACTGCTGAGGATTTTCATACTAGGATGAAACATTGGCCCAGTGCTTCCAGGTTTTCAATGTTGATCTAACTTAGATTGGTTATTACTTTGAATTAGAGTATATATAATGAAATAAACAAATTATTAGTTTGTAAAATTCTGATTAAGAGCAGTAGAATGTTTAACTTATACTCTGGTAAAAGATGACCCACAAAAATTCAGTCAGATTACAACCCAAACAAATTGTATAAATTTGTGTAAGACAGATGGACACATATTACATAATTTAAAGTTAGTTGGTTGGTACATGATTATGTTAAAGATTAAAAAATAGTGAAAAATAGGAAGCTGTATGTTACAAATAATGAGCACGAATAAAGTATATGGAAAGAAAGAATCCGATTTCGACGAGAAATTCATTCTTTCATTACAGATGATGAGAATAGGATACGTGTCCATGAATTTGTAATACATGTCAACATTTAATGTATGTTTGATATCTAGGTCTTTCCTACTCAGTTAGTCAGTGAATGATACATGTAAAAGTATAATTTTCATTGCAGATTTGATTTCAAACATGAATCTGTAGGTTATTTGCTTGTTTCATCCACCAAATTGGGATGCGCCACAATAGCGTGTTCACAAACGATATAAGTAAGTAGGTTTTAGACGATCAGAATGAAGTCTCTAATGAAAATTACACTTTTATATGAAGTATTGACACAATAAATGAACGGGAAAGTAGTCGGAAATGCTAGATATGGCATTTTTATTGAACATTGATAGAGAATAGTTATCTTCACACAGCTGACAGCATTACCCCATGAAGCCTAGTAATTCATATATAAGGGTTGGGTATTCATGTTAAAACTTTATCAATTACACTTATACTACTATACTATATCATAAAACATTTCATAACCAAACGCTATTTCCTCGGATTAAAAATGGTTCAAAGTTATCTATATAATTTACTTCCACGAAATAATGAATACTTTGTCGTTTCATTCTTGTATTTACTGTGTCTTCATAACTTAGTACGGTTATACTATACTGACGGCCCTGAGTGACCAATCGAAATTAGTCTAGTCTATGCGCAAATTAAAAACGCCATTATGGACACCTCGTTACCAAAACTCATGATTTTTTATTTCAAAAGGATGGGATAGATTTGGCACTTATTTTCTTCACCTTGTCATGCCAACTACAATTACTTTATTTGCCTGCCTGACAGTAGTAGAGTAGGTATTGTAAAAATAAACCTACAATACATACAATTGTTATCATTAATTTACATCACTATCATCCGCACATGAGCCTGTATATATTTAAGTTTATTGAGCTCTTTAATTAACCTATTAAGCAGATAGACTGTGCCATTTTGATCCGCAATTACTATGTTGCTTACGCCTGTCATCCCACGTGGAGGAGCATAGGCCGTCCACCCTCCATTCAACTCTATCCTCGACAATCCTTTCCAGTTGTTATTCATATTTTTCTTGTCTCCTACCAATTTTTGACAGTGTACTTCGGTCTTCCACTTTTCCGTTTCACTTCAAGATTCCGAGTCAGCGCTTGCCTAGTGATTCAGTTTGATGATTTCTTCAATATATGTCCTATTCACCTCCACTGTCTTTCACTAATTTCATCTTGGGCTGGAAGCTGGTTTGTCCTCTCCTTCAGTAGATTGTTACTGATGGTATCCGGTCAACGGACATTGAGTATCTTGCGTAGACGAATGTTTATAAATACTTGTACCTTCTTGATGATATTTGTAGTACTTCTCCAAGTTTCAGCTCCATACAGTAGGACTGTCTCGATATTCGTATTGAATATTGTGACTTTGATATTGGTTGATAGACAGTTGTTTTGAGTTCCATATGTTGTTCAATTGTAGGAATCATGTCCTTGCCTCGCCAATCCTAGTCTTTACGTCTGCATCGGATCTTCCTTGTTCATCAATAATGCTGCACAGGTACGTGAAGGATCCCACCTCTTCCAGAGCTTCACCATCAAGTGTGATTGGGTTGGTGTTCTCCGCATTGTATTTCAGGATCTTGCTTTTTTCTTTGTGTATGTTGAGGCCTACTGATGCAGAAGCTGCTGATACACTAGTTGTTTACATCTGCATTTGTTGGCGTGTGTTTATGGGATAGAAGGGCTAGGTCTGAAGTCTGAATTTATATACATGTTCGATAGCTTCCATCACAGAATACCATCATCTGCAGAATAAAGTGAGAATAATAAAGCGCTGAACAATTATCTGTACTCAATTTGGAACTGCTCATCGATTTGCACACATAACCCTGATTTTAAGGAGACTACAAGCCCATTAAAGTACCAAGTTCAAATTCAGTGTCCTGTAGTCCCAACTTCAATCAATTCATGATATATGACACGATAATCATTCGAATTTATAAGTGACAACTACCTCAGTGGTGTTAGTTTCGAGAAAATTGAGAAAAAAAACATAATCCCAACAGTTATTGAAAATCAACTAACTCTATCAACGATAATTCCTGATCAACTCGTTTTTGATCTGCATCAATTTCACGTAAATAATTTGTCATATGAGTTCCAGCCAGTTCAGATTGTGCACGTAAATGGTCCATTTGACGTTCATGATCACGTAGTCTTAACAATGGACTATGCATACAAACAATATCTTGTTCTCTCAAAAATACTCCACCATGTGAACTGCGTTGTCGATTAACTAATAAAGAAAAAAACATTTTAATGAGCAATCTTATCATAATTAATCAATAAAAAAAAACGATCTATAGAAAAGTATTTATTGAATATAACGTAAACTATCCACTATACTGTAGATATCAATGCCAAGGCTGGATTTGATGGTTTCAAATAAACTACGCATTGCATAGAAAGTTATTGATAAGTATATGTTTTGTTACGTCCCAATGAGTAGAAAATTTTATTTTTGGTGTTTCGTAACTTGGCGTAAGTGACTTCTTCAGAGTCAATAAATAACCGAATCACTCTGAATAAGTGCATTATATTAAGCTACGAAACGTCGGAAATAAAATTTTCTACTTATTGAGATATAAAAAAAATATATATTTATCATTAACCATACTCTTAGAAATGTAAGTAGCATGTTTCATTTGTTGTAATTTATGTCGTATGCCACTTAATCTTCACGCCTAATGGTCGGAAAACAGCTTAAAATAACCTAAGCCATCTGATTGGTTCGAGTATATTACGAATGATTTAGACCTAATAAAATGAAGAGATTTAATCCTTGCTCAGATTAGGTTAGTATGACTACTAATTACGAAATATAACATTGTATTTTATTTGTTGATAGGTAACAATAATATAAACGACAGTGAAAGATATAAACAGTCGAATATTTTGGCGAACTTTCACCGTAATACTACTAATATCTCAAAAAGTGTAGGTCTGAATGTTGCGCTCAAGTTATCTTTAGTATTCGATATATATATATATATATATATATATATATATATATATATATATATAACGGCAGTGAAAAGCCTTACTACTTATAATATTGAGTGGATCACGTGACTATTATTTACTCTTGATCGACCTGGTAGCACGTACCACCTTGTGAAGATAGTCTAAATTGTTGTAACAACGGGGTGAAATGGAATGTCTTTAAAACATAGAATAGTCATCTTATGCATCTGTGCTCAATCGACAACACCTCTAGACTAGTGAAAGTTCAGTTTAGTCAACTCTACATCAACATTTGTATTTGAAATCAAATCAATATTGTCACAACTATACATGTCTGTTTGTTAATTTTTATGAGGCTTCGTCACATACACTTACCTGTAGATGACTTAATTTTTTTCTATGCAGCAATTTAATAAAGGTCTGTCCTGATGTTTTAAACATATTTTATTGAATAGTAATTATGGATCACTTATTATTAATCCCACCAATATATTACCTTGATTTATATAAAATGGGTTAGCAGATAAATTTTTTGACTTAGTTTACCTTGTAGAGGCTTTTTCCTCTATATCTGACTCTAATAACTAGCATCCCGTTAATTGAAGATTTACGCAAGCCAAATATCCTAGTAATATTATAAATATATTCGATATTATTCAAAAGTCAGAATATCAGTTGTAGAGACAGTAAATGGTTAATGATTAATAAAAACCCTTAAAAGTGTTAAGGTAGCAAGGAAACAGACAAACGAGTGGATGTCTGTGTGTGTGTGTGTTACATATATATTTTTTCATAATTGAAAGCGTGAGTCAATTGAAGCTAGACCACCAGGGAAAACCTGAAAGCACTTAAGATTACCTTTCAAAAAAACGGCTACGCAATAAGCTTCATGAAAAATATCAATAAAATGCATCAGCAGAAGTGCTTCCAGGTTTGCCCTGATGGTCTAGCTTCAATTGACTCACGCTTTCAACTATGAGAATACTAAACCTCCACAAAACCCCCCTTCTGATAAAAATATATATATAGCAACTAATGTGAGAATAAATAAGGATTGATGGGCAGACATGCTCCCAATCAAATTCACACATAATTTTACATAGGTGAATTAAATGCTAGTGTGTAGACAAACAATAAAATAGTTGAGTGGGCTTACTACAACCTACAAATGTTTGTGATCTGCAATCTTAAAAGTGGATAATGAGTCATACCATTGGACTTATGGCTCCAAGACTACTTAAGGTGTGAAACAACTTTGAGCACTGTTACAATTAGGCCCTATTAATAATAGAACGACAAACTTACTGATTTTAGTCTGGGTAATATTCATGTGAAATAAATACATTTGAAAAATTCATGAATGCTAATTAATTTTGGTGTTTTGTTCTATGAGCTGGATAGTTTAGTAGTGGAGTTTTCATCGTTCTTCTGGACGACATAACCAACACAAACTTCAGGCAGAATTAAAGTGTTCGAATTTCACCACATATAGCTCACAGCTTGTCATGTAGACCTCGATCCTCATTGGTTGTTGTTGTCCTTTAACGTATCACTGTTTACTTCTTTATTTTGATTGTATCTCCTATTGATTTGATTCTTGGTTCTATATTTGTCCATGATTTTTCTGATTGGTTGGTAGGTTGGATCGATTTCAGTGTTTGTTGATTACTGATTGACCTGAGTACCAAGCTTCGAAAAATTCTCTGGTAATTTTAGAATTCCCTCTATCCGAGATCTCAACATTTTCCCAGTCGAATGTGCGTCCAAAGTTGTCCACATATATTGATGCAAGCGAGGATAAGTCGTGTCGTTTAACCGCTAATTGGTGTTCTTGCAGGTGAAGGTGGAATGGGGGTACACTGTAGTGTTTTTCGCAGTTGGAATGGTTTTTTTTATAGATGTTCAGTTTTCCTTCTTTTGTCATTTCGTCCTTTGGTTTGCATAGGATTGATTGAAGTGGTTTTGTTGGTTTGTCTGCTACATCTATTCCAAGAGGCTTCGATAATCTCGTCATAATTTCTGATATACGTTTTACATATGGTAGGATAGTCCGTTTGTTGGTTCCTGTACTTGATTGTGTTTCTGCTAATGCATTTAATTGATATTTTTGATGAAGTTGATTGCGTAGCCTTTCTTTTGAAAGGTAGTTTTAAGATATTTCTCTTCATTTTTTTGCACCGCAAGTATATGTTACAGTGTGTTCTCGCCCTCTTGGTTTGTGTATTTTCGGCCTACCGTGGAATCGAGCAAGTCTTTTTCCATTAGATTTCATTCTGCATTGATATTGCTTTGATATTTGTCCTGCTTTGACAAGCCTGTTTAAAGTCCTTGAGTTTTGGTTGTCTAACCTTTTGATTGAATTTGTGTCCATTGGTTTGCATACACTTTTATCCTCAAGTAGTTCTTCGGCTTCCGTGATATATTCTTCCTTGTCCATAATTACTGTAGTATGTCCTTTGTCCGCTGAGACTATAACAATATTATCTCTAGTTCTGAGTTTCTTTAAAACCTTTTGTTCTTGTGAAGTCAGTTGGATATTGTCTTTCTTCCATTGAGTTAACTAACTAATTTTCTATCATTGAGTTTTCAGCGTAGCCTGTAGCTCATAACTCTGATCATGTATAAAGCCATAAGTACTCGGAGGTAACTAGGATGAAGCAACTATCCTACCTTTTCTGAATTTCAGTGGTAACCTATCTGATATTCTTCTCAGTGGGACTCCAACTCGTGGTACCCACAACTTTATACTCCAAGTTTAGGCTTGTTTATCAGCTAATCAGTAAGAAGAATGGTGATTACAAAGTAATCAATTAGTATCCATTCATTTTCAATTCAATAGATATATTTTAACAGTGTTTTTTCCTTGAGATAAGATGGTGGTTGGAGGTGGTCAACAGGAAACCCTGGACCCGGGTTTCGTGCTACTTGGCACTCGTCAGCAAGGTGTACTTGTAATCCCTCGTCAGTCAGCTTCACAGTCAGAGACGTTACCACTGAGCTATTCCGGCCGCGACCGACCTCCTGTAGGACTGAGATGTAATCGCGATTGATTGATCACTGGGTGGTGATCAATGTCATGCGTGTCAAGTCCTTGTTAGTGCTAGTCGGATGTTTTTTCCTTGTTAGCTTTTATGTAACATATCTACGAGTTATAAGTTTATGTATTCAACTTTAAACCGTATTGTTTGTGCTCAAGCTATTGATACCATCTAGTTGCCCAAATGAAAATTGGTGAAACTAAGTTTGAATCTGTTCTTTAATAATATCACAGCTTCATCTTTTGATAAGTTACACTTCAACAAACAATAAAAACCATTATGTCATTCAAAAAGTTTACGATTAACCATTTCAACCTAATTACATTATCATTTTGATAGAACAATGATAAGAATGTGTTATATTATTATTCACTTAAGATAGAAAGATGCTTTCAATAGGATACACTTTTAGTTATAATACACTAACTCAGATATATTGACATAGAAATGATTTAACTAAATTTCACTTTTTTGATACTTCTATTGACAAGTATTAACTTAAGACTAGTAATTAATGTTAATTATATAAGATCTTGTCAATTATAATATTTTGGTTAATAATGTTTCATTGTGTGTACTATTCTTATAATTTTGTTAACATTCCAAAACTTCATATTACAGAAGGGGTTTTATGGGTATTATAGTAATTTTAATAGTTGAGATATTAACCAACATATGCTCACAAATGACTGACTTCAAGAGGTATTTCTTGAAGTTCTAGTGAAAAGCAGTGATCAGTGAAGTTCAACCAGGGCTGTTGTGAGATAGGAACTCACTGAAGACAACTTGGTGAATGATTGCGCAGTTTCGTGGATCGGTTAAAGGTAGACATTAACATCCTTGGATGCCAGCCCACTCAGTGGTCTAGAGGTTAAGCACTCGCGCGCGACACTGATAAGTCCTGGTTTTGAATCTCTCGAGGCGGGATCCTGAATGTGCACTGCTGACGAGTCTCAGAATAGGACGAGATGGCCATCTAGTGGTTCCAGGTTTTACTTGGCGGTCTAGCTTCAATTGATTCATGATGTCAACTATTAAAATTCCAAAACTTATTCAAAATTTTATTTAATTAAAACAATGAATGTTATCTTTTATTATAGAAAAATATAGTATAATAAGTTAATTATAATGTAAATAAATAAATATATTACTTACTATCTGTCATTTTCAATCTATCTGTAAATGCATATATAGCTTGGCTTAATTCAGTTGCTCTAGTATCATTGGGTAAGAGAAGACCTCTTAAATCTTCTAGAAAATTATCCATAGCTATTTTATGCTGATACTGAATATCCTGTATGGAGTTTTTTTTAAAAGAAGAAAACATAAATACGAATAAAAATCATCAATTTGTCCATAGTTTTACACAAACAATCATTATTGTATATGCAAAGATGGATAGTGATAAGCAATAGAATATATAGGATACACATTTTTTCGCACTCTGAGACTCATCTACTGAATGCACTTGTATTTCAATGTGTTGATGTTTACTCTGAAACTCGAACCTTAATACCTTTCACTTTAAATATTTAGCCTGCAATCCTGAAACACTATTACGATTATATACTACTTCTAAGTAGTTTCATTTAATAAGCACAAAAGCTGATATTGCATGTGAACTGGCAGATGACTGTTTTAATGCAGACTTTTATGGTAAAAAAACACCTTGAAGTGGAAAGCCAGTCGTAAGCCTAATTAGAAGATCAATCGATGGTAATCAGTAGTGACCTAAAGGACAAGTACACTTCATTGACTAAGAAATGGATCAATTTCCTAGGGATTAGAGTGGTATATAAATGAATGAGTATCTGCCCTTTTATTCGGTAGACCAATACACTTTCTCGCTAAAGTAGTCAGTTGAGGGGGGATTAGCACATATCACACCGTGTCTTGCACCAGATTCCTGACACCACACTTCACAACTCATCTGCAAAGCATGAATATGTTTATTTCTTTGTCTTCAATGAGAGTTCATTATTTCGTTCGGTTGTTTTTAGAACGAAAGAATTAAATAGTAAACCTCTAATTTTTTACAAATCGTCACTTTAAAATCCTTTACTAAGAGTTATTGTGTTCTGCTACTCATGAAATGTCTTTCCACCACTCAAATAACGAATTCTAAATTAAAAAGAAAATGGTCGTACATCTGTGAAAATAAAAATCATTTATTAATGGAACTTTGAATAATGATTATTTTTATTCCTAAGCTAGAATAAATTTCGTTTTTGTCATTGAAACTTTTTGAAGTGAGAAATAGATACCTGTTTCCTCCTTATATTAAAGGTTTTAATAATTCATACTCAGGATCCTCATTTCATTTGAAGAACGTTTAACACTTACTTCCCTCTAACTGAGCATTCAATAGTTTACATTTACAAGTCTAATCAAATCTTTATTTAATCCGATATAAATGAAAATCAACTGATATGTTCTCAAAACAACTAAACAATAAAAAAGAAGTAAACTAAAAGATGAAACGTACTCCATTTTCTGCCATTTGATTTAATAAACAACTGTAATAGGATCTTAGTCGTTCACGTGATCTTTCCACAAGTAAATCCCATGATTCAATACATTTTTCACGAAGTCTAAAAAAATACAACAATTCAACGAATTGTTTAATGATCAATGAAACTGTCTAACAGGATGTATACATATACAAGCAGACTATATCATTTATATGAATAAAATGAAATTTAACATGATACCAGGACGATCATGTTCGAAGCCTAAAATAAACTTCAGTGTTTAGAATTAGATGAGCCAGAAGATGAATTATTAAAACATTGTGCCGTATGACGTGAAGGACCTATGCACATATGTGACAGGTTTTACGTGGCTTACGACCGATGATTTACCGTTACTAACATATTTTAGGATCTAAAACATTTAGGATTTAACGATAGTCCATTTATTTTATATGCTAATACTTAACGGGTCTGTAATAAATGATACTCTTATACAATTTTAAAAACCTTTCCTACAAATGTGCAAATGCACAGAAGGGAGGAGTGATATGAGGATAGAGGCAGGGGACCTGACTAATTTGGCGACGTGGAAGTGGGTGTTGGAGTTGGTGATGTTGATGGTGATGAATGACCGTGGTGCATGAACAAGTTGTACATGATGATCATGCATTGTAATATGTCCTAGATGTTGTTGAGATAATGTTGTGTGTTGCTGTGAGTTTGTTGTTTGTGTGAGAGTGAGAGTGGGAGACGGTGTGATATGTGGTGGAGGATGCAGTCGATGTGTTAGGTGACGTGGATGCGTTGATTTAAGAGACACGGTTTTGTGTGTGTTGAGTGTGAATGTCATGACCGGCTAGTTTGTAGGTAGAGTGGCAGAGCGGTCCAAGGCGCTGGTTTAAGGCACCAGTCCGAAAGGGCGTGGGTTCGAATCCCACCTCCATCACAATGTTTGCAGTTAATTTGAGCACATCAAATATTTCGTCTGATTATATCCAATACTTGTTTCTTTTGTGCTTCACCATAATAAATGTTAACGTAGATCTCTAAATTTAACATACAACGTATAAAGTGATTATAAATATATCATATGCTCATTAGTGACTGACTTCAAGAGATATTTCGTGAAGTTCTAGTGAGAAGCAGTAACCAGTGAAGTTCAACCACGTCTGTTGGGAGATATCAACTCACCGATGACAAGTGGTGAATGGTTGCTCAATTTCGTGGATTGGTTGAAGTTAGACATTAACACCGTTGGATGCCGGCCAGTTTAGTGGTCTGTCGGTTAAGTGCTCTGGTGTGAGACTGATAGGTCCTGGGTTCCAATCTCGCGAGGCGAGATCGTGCATGCTCACTGCTCAGGAGTCCCATAATAGGACGAAACAGCCGTCCAGTGTTTCCAGGTTTTCCTTGATGATCTAGCTTTAATTAACTCATGATTTCAACTATGAAAATGAGGAAATCTCAAAATCCCTTCTGACTATTTCATTGTTTAATCATTGAAGATTGTTAAAAAAAATGTATATAGACAAGGATGGAATGATAACTGATTGGCCTCAATTACTTAATTTTCAACCATTCAGTGACAGATTCGAATAGGGTTTCACGTCCTTTAATCGAACTAACTAATTACCACCATTTACTATCATGAATAAATTATTATGTACTAAAACAAAGTTGACAAAATCTATAATTGGTAATATTAGAAACAAGTGTTCTCAATTACGGAGAGATATACATTATCACTTCTTCAGTTTAATCGATATAGTATGCTTTAATCATTTTCAAATAATGTTAACTTGTAAAAACTAAACTACTCAAATTCCACTCTTCAGCTTCAGTTGGAAAAAAAACTTTTGGTATGTGTGAATGTTATCTCCTAACGATCTAACACAGTCATTGCTATTGTACTTAAGAAGAGAAAAAAGTCTATGCAACATGTGTACTCTAATGTGTGTAAATTGTATATATTAAATTTGAATAGCTATGAACTGTAGCAATATATTGTTTGTTTGTTTGTTCGTTCTGAAAACTTAAAAGTGTTTTTGTTTACAAACTGAAAATGTCTACTTTCAAACGTGTCTATTATATACCCATCTGAGCTACAAATCTTCTTCATCATCTCGAAAGAAGATATTTCAGCTTAGTTTTATAATGGTTCAAAGTTTTATTTTTGAATATTCAATCAAATGTAATCACTCAACTAACCCATATGTTGAAATCTATGTTTGATGAGAGAATTCGGTTAAATCTACTTAGATATTTCCATATCCGAATTGTTGAAACCACGAAAATTATTTTTATTTTATTTATCTGCGAGATAAAGACTGAACTTCCTGTATATAGTGAGTTCGTCTTATCTTTGCATTCAACAAGATTTTAGCCCAACTATTATTATTATTTTCATTTAAATCTCCCTCTCGCTGTGAATGTTTCTCATATTCCCTTGATTATTGTGTGATTAGATATGTATCGCTTCAATATATAATATATGTTTGATACTTAGATCTTTCCGACTCAGTTAGTCAGTAAATGATACATGTAAGAGTATAATTTTCATTACAGATTTGATTTCAAACATTGAATTGAAATGGGGGGAGACATCAAAGTAATGTTAGGCGAATGGATACGAAAGCGATAAGGAACCTGAAGAACCTGACAGCTAAGAACTGCCATTCATTAATCGAACAACGAAAAAGAAGGAGTAGGTAAACTTCTATGAATGGGGGTTTATTGTGATGGGGATAAGATTGGTGTTTTTGTAAAATTAAGTTTTAATGAAATTAGTGTATTTATTGAACTGACCATGTGGCGACTTAATAGGAGTACAAAAATAAGGAATAATCATTATCATACTCACATCACTGATCGTTTCACAGCTTCTAAATCTGGATCACTTATCCATAAACAAACAGATGGTATTTTTACTATACCACTATTTGTTTGCACTGTCCAAAAGTGTTGATCATCTTTATTCGATATAACACGTACTTCTTCACCTTCTTTTAATTCATAATTTGGTCCTGTCAATGAAGTTAACATACGAGCCATAACTGGACTAGCGGATTCTGTATTAGTACTCAGACCATCAATAACACAGCCTAGTCTTAAGTGAACAGGGACAATACGTCGGCTTTCTTCAAGTAAATTGCCCGATCGACCCCATAAATGAATCATATGATTAAGATGTTCCTAATAAGAGGAATAATAATAACAAACGTTAATATTTTATAAATGTAAATCTAGAATATTAATAGACTTTTTAAAGTTAAGAAAATGTTTGTCTTGAGTGTTTATGCATGTTTTTGAATAAAGTCAAATGAGCCATATGTTACAAGTGAATGAATTTATTCGATTCCCATTATTGAGATGTAATTAAGAGAACATCTTCGATTCAAGCTTTCTATAGTCTAGCACTCATTAATAAAATATATATTTTTAGGCGTCTCGCTTTAGTGTTAGCGGTGAAATGATAATTTATGGACAACTTCTGAGCGACGTTAAAGTGATCTTGAGAATGTTCACATACTTACTAGTGCTAAATTGGGGTTACAAATCAGTGCGACGAATTAGAATCATGATTTACTGTTGATGGTTAGGGTTAGGAACGAGATTTAGGGTTTTTATCACGAACTGCCAGAATGGATGAATGAATTTCAACCTAGAATCCAAGACCTGTTATACTAAATCTAATTAGTTCGCCCATAAATTATAGCCTCGCAGTGTTAATATCATTAAACGTATTTTTCAAGAACTTTGGTTTTGTATGGATGAGTATACAATCCATGTATTTTCGATAGTTTGGTTTGTGCCTAATCTACTTTTTTTGAAATTATTCTTAACTAGGCCCTTTTGATCTTTAAACATGTAAAAGTACTGATCAATCATTTTTGGTATATCAGTCTCTTTTTTGTCATATATTAAAGGGAAACGTATGTTTACCTGACTGATGATTCCGAAATTGTCAATGTATAGTTATGAATGTTAATATGTACCACTTTTGTTTACGTTACCTATTGTTAATGAATACCTCTCACTGTTAACAAGTATTATAACACAAACTTTCGGATTGTATGGTAATTTGAGAATCATAATCTGTACAACTGATTTACCAGATTTTTTCTTAAACATTAGTATTGTTTATATATTACTATCAACCTAAACGTACCTATAAATCGACATGTACTTTTAGCCGTTTTCAAAATACTTATTATGTATTACTCAATGACTGGCAAATACAACTCTTTATAAGATGATATTAATAAATGTGTAAAAGCTTATCGTTTATATAGCTTATAAGTTATATCATAAGAAATTGATTGACAACCTATTCATTCAACTTGATAGTATATTACTTCAAGTTTACTATTTTCATACTTTTCCCAAAGAAATGAGCTTCCGTTTCTGTTGAAACATTTTATAAATACTGTTCTAACTTGTCAAATAGTATTCTTCAGAAGCTAACGTCAGCTAAGGTATCCTCTTACAAGAGAGAAAGGTTGTAAGTACATATTGTGGAAGTGTCAAGTAATAGACCATACCAATTACTCAGTATCTTTTGATTATAGCTGGTTCTCTAATTAAATTCAGTTCATGATATAAATTATCTTCAAAACACTAGTCAGCATCATATAGTTTAATAAAGTTAAATATAAAATAGCAAGAATATCCAGTTCTAAATAGGATAAAATATGATTTCTAGATTCCACTGCTAATCATTATCCAACTTGACTAAAATCTTCTAATTGAATAGTAATATTGAAGCTACTCACCCAGGAAATCATATATATGTCAATAGAAACTGATTAGTTGGTCATTAACAACAACAACGACAACGGAGAAGTGCACACATTATCAGTAGTATTGTGTGTTCGTAAAAACAATGTTATATTACTTATAATATTAAATACCAATGCACATTTATCTACATCATTCATATAATCACTCTATGCTATTAGTTTCTTCCTGTAAACAATGTGATGTTTCCAACATTCTTTTAAACACTATAATCTCATAAATATTTTAATTATATAACTGCAGGAATTATGACGACTATTATTACTATTAGCTCCTTTAAAAAATTGTACATTCCGATAAATTCCAATTACAAACAATGATTCATATTGTGTTTTTTTTTTTAAGAAAAATTCCAGAATAAGTCATGCGCTAAAACAAGTCAATTTACTACTCTATAAAAAACAGTTTCAAATGTCAAAATATGTCGTTATTTCTATGACAACTTTGTTTCCAATGCTCCTTTCATTTATCAGCAGTAAAAATTAAAAAAATTTTTTTTAAAAAAAACAAACAATAATGCTTCGACTAATCACTAAAAAATTACACACATTTTTAATTTTGTAGTGATAATTAGAATTTGTTTCTTTCGAAAAAGAAAAAAATATAATTTTAACTCCAGAAAGTAATTTTGTAGCTTTCAATACCTAAGAAATCAAAATTTTTTAATGGTCTAATCAACTAATTGAAGCTTAAAGATAAATTCAATCCAGGTAGAGTGTTAATATCCGCCTATAGCTTCTCCGGAGGCTACTGTCGGTCCGAAGCCCGGATAAAGAAGGAGGGTTGGGTATGGAGTTAGCGACCTCATCCCGTAGAAAACCAACTCGTTTAAAAAATCTCTAACCAGAGAGTTGATATAACTCTTTATTTCAGTGTTTTTGAGCATATTTTCGTATTAAAGGATACAATTCATAAGTCGGATGCATATACTGGGACTTTGTTATCAAGTTATATTAGTTTAAATAAGGATATGATTTAGAATCTACCATTTAAACAGGTATAATACTTGTGACGCAAGGCAATATCGAGATAATCCGTACACGATGCACAGATGCCGATAAGAGACTGATCAACTGCAGTCCTAAACATCAATGGGAAGATACAAGTAAACAATGCCAAGTGAATTTACACTTCACCCCATTGCACAAGCTAGTAGCTAACAGGACTCAATAGCTAAGTGGATAATATGATGGCGTTTGAAATGAAAGGTACTTGGTAGGAGTTTCAGAGTGGGCATCAACTCTTGGATGCAAGTACATCCAACTGTGGGTCTCAAATAGGACGAAACGCGCGTCCTGTATTCTACTGCTAGCCACCATACGTGTTTGTTTATCTATGGCATATATATTCTAACTTATGCTTCAATGTATATTTTACACCTTAAATAAATTGGCTAATCTAATTGTATCATAAGTTGATTTATTTAAATATGTATTAACTATTGTTTTAGTCAAAATTAATCTCATATTGTGGTGTGTGCTACTTATATCGACATAAGTAGTATATAACGCTAGCCAGGAATAGAATGTCTGACAGTGGAAGCTCAAGAAGATCGAGAAGGAAAGGACGGGAACAGAAAGTAATTGATATGGAAAGGCAGAAACATTGAAGTCTGAGACGATTGACTAATACTTGCAAAATGAACAGTCAAGTTTGAGACAATTAATGAACATTTTGCAAATTCAGTATTCACTGTATGGTTCTCAGATTTTAGTAAGAGATTCTGTAATTATGTGTTCAGGTACGTCCGATTGTCCCCACTTGTGTTCTAGTTCCCCATAATATTTTTAAATGACTTGTATTGAATATAAATACAAAAAGTTGATTACATACCCTCAATTCATTGGCCAAAATTGTACAATTTTTCAAAGTTGCAGGTAATGCTCTTGTATTTCTTGGTTCTGTCATCCGTACACGTGCTTTCAAACTGGCTTCAGCTTCATTAACTGCATGATGAAACTGTAATGAAATAAAAAATAAATTAATGATGGTATTGGAAAATTCTCATTTTTAGGATTTGAATAATGAAGACTATTTCTAACGGGAATTTATGTCACAATGGAATATCAGTAGTAATTGACAACATTTCTTTTACGACCCTCATATGAAATCAAACTCACCATCTTCATAATTCGTAGTTTTAAAGCTGTCTCCCTACAGTTCTGATCTTGTGCCGAATCATAACACAGTACTACTGAGTAGTCCCTCCAGTAAAAACATAACATCAATGTTCAACAGTTCTGCAAACCCCATATCACTTTGTTATTAAAACCACATATTCAAAATGGTTAAATTAATCTAACCTAACTATGACTTCTCAGAATAATAAATTTCACTTGTTAGCATAGAGATGTGGACATTATTTACTTTTATTAATATCATGAATCGAACTTGGACAACCATTCAATAATAAAGAATGTGGAGAAGTTATCTGTCTTATGGTCTGGCAATGTCGTCGGTCGATTGTGTTGAGGAGATCAGAAGTACTCCTCGAAAAGTTCAAAGGGGCCATGAAAACTCTGGGAAACATTTTACTCAATCAGAGTTGAATAGAAGTATCTTAGAAACATCTAACAAATGAAGTCACGTGACACGTCTCTATTTGGATGATTATCTATCTCGCCACCATGTTTAATATGGTCCTAGAATCTTCCAAAAGACCAAGACCATCTGAAATACTATAAATACCCTCGAATTTATGTACGTAGACCAACCTTGGAATAAAGCGTTCGTTTCACACATCTCGCCTTTTCTCTGGTGTTTAAGTTGTCTTGTAGATTTAAATTGAGGTTATTAAAAGATCTTGGGAAACCGATTCAAGCGTTCGGTTAGAAAACCTATCAGATTGAATTTACGGAAGTAAACTACCGTATATCAGGTCGGTAGTATAGAGGTTAAGAATTTGTACGCAGGACTAAAGCATCTGGTTTTAGATACCTGACTTCATGGTCATGGAAGTTCACTGATGAAAATTTTCATACTAGAACGAAATAGCAATCCAGTGTTTGCAAATTTTCAATAATTGTTTCTACAGATTCATACGTCTATTATATTTAATTTATAAATATCTTATATTTACTGTAACCCTGTTTGTATTTTCTATAATTATATAACATTTTTCCGTGATATTAGAATCATTAAAAAAGTGACATTCTTTTACTTTTTCAAAATATCAATACACATATTTTTTCTATTATTAACCTTAGAATATCTAAACCACGGGTCAAGTGACTGACCAAAACTTCTGTAATCTATTGATACACAACAATAACAACATTTCCATCTATGTAAATCATTAGAATGAATTTCTTGAAGTAATTGCCGACCTCTTCAAAGTAGTAAATAAGTTAACTCAAACTATTGAAGTTGAAATTTTTAAGAAGCTGAGAAAACAATCACATTTAAATGACAGTACACAGCAGAATGATGCCATCTTCATATGTTACTATAAGTTAAAATTATTCATGTGAAATATTAATGAGCGTAGTTAACAAGAAGTTTAGATTATTTATTCTGGTTAGCGTTTTTTAGAAAAGTTGTTTTATACGGAATGAGTAAACTGACCCCATCCCCAAAGCTTTTCCCAGAACAGCTACAGACTACGTCTGTCTCATCGAATCACATCATGGAGAACCAGGTGGATCATATTTGTATCACTAAAAAATTCAGATGGTTAGTGGAGGATGTGAGAACCAGGAGAGGAGCTGGCATAACTTCAGATCACCACCAACTGGTGATTGCCAAGATTAAACTGAAACTAAAGAAATACTGAACAGCTGGGGAAACAGTAGCACAAAGGTTCAATATAGACTTCCTTCGACATACCGGAAACTTAACCAATTCAAGATAAATCTTCACAACAGGTTCCAAGTCTTACAGGATCTACTGAAAGAAGAGACTACTACAGAGGACAGCTGGAAAAAAAATCAAAGAAGCACTAACTTTAACGTGTCAGAAAGTACTGGGCTACAAGAAGCATCATCATGAAGAATGGATCTCTGTGGAAACCCTTGACAAGATTGAAGAAAGGATAGACAAGAAGACAGAAATTAACAACAGCCAAACAAGAACAGAGAAATTCAAGGTATAAGCTGAATACACAGAAGCAAATAAGCAAATGAAGAAGAGCATTAGAGTTGACAAGTAGAAATACGTGGAATAGCAAGCAACGATAGAGAAAAAGGCTGGAAGAGAAGGAAATATGAAACAAATATATGATACAACGAAGAAACTGGTTTTGAAGTATGGTGAACAAGAGAGACCAGTCAGGGATTAAGAAGGAAAGACATTCACGGAGATTGAAGAACGTAGGAAAAGATGGGTAGAATACTTTAAGAAACTCTTGAATCGGCCAGCTCCATTGAATACACTGGTCATTGAAGCAGCAACTACAGACTTTGCTATGGGTGTTGCTTCAGCAACGATTGAAGAAACCAGCATGGCAATCGGAGAAATCAAGAATGGGAAATGAGCAGGACCAGACAATATACCAGCTGAAGCACAGAAGTCAGACATAGAAGAAATCGTAAACATGCTCCACGTTCTATTCAGGAAGATTTGGGAGGAAGAACAAGTGCCGGTGAACTAGAAAGAAAGATACCTCATTAATATTCCAAAGAACTATAGAGGTATCACACTACAACCGGTACCAGGATAGGTTTTCAACAGAGTGTTGCTGAATCGAATTAAAGATTCATTAGATGTCCAGCTACTACATAACTAGGCAAGTGTTAAATTGGACTGCTGAATTGACATGGAGAAGAGGTGAACCAAAATACACATTGCGTCGGGAATCAGAAGCAGACATTTCAAAAATGAATAACGATTAAAAAGAACTGGAACGGATTGTTGAGGACAGAGTTGGTTTGAGACTGCTGGTAGACGACCTATGCTCCTCCACGTGGGGTAACAGGAGTAAGTAATTTTTAAGTATATATATATATATATATATATATATATATATATATATATATATATATATATATATATATATATATATATATATATATATATATATATATATATAGAACGTTAATCACGATCAAAAATAAAGCTTAATGGTTAAGTTTCTATCTATAGCACTGGGTGATAAAAGTTATAATTCTGAAGAATGCATCATTTCTATCATAGATGCCAACTACATTTTGCTAACAAGTACCAACTAGTAATAAATCCAAGTCTAGTTCTTTTCATTAGCTATCATAAATCACGTAAACTCTAATTATAACATATAGTGCTTCCAGGTTTTCCATGATGGTCTAGCTTCAATCAATTTATGATTTTTAACTATGAAAAATACTGAAATCTCCACAAAACCCCTTCTGATTATAATCATATGCTCATTAGTGACTGACTTCAAAAGGTATTTCCTGAAGTTCTAATGAGAAGCAGTGACCAGTGAAGTTGAACCACGTCTGTTGTGAGATATCAACTCACTGATGACAATCGGTGAACGATTGTTCAACTTCTTGAATTGGTTGAAGTTAGACATTAACATCGTTGGATGTCGGCCAGCTCAGTGGCTTAGAGGTTAAGTGCTTTGGCGCGAGACTGGTAAGTGCTGGGTTCGAATTTTACAAAGTGAGATCGTGGATGCACACTGTTTAGGAGTCCAACAATAGGACAAAACGGTCGTCTAGTGCTTCCAGGTTTTCAATGGTGGTCTAGCTTCAATTGACTCATGATTTCAACTATAAAAAAACCCTTTCTGATTATAACATTCATTTCATTCTATTATATCAGATTTCAATCAATTACAAATATTTTTAAAAAAAACTGAGTTAATCAATAAATAGAAACTGATTTTATCGATAAAAAACACGATTAACCAGTATATCTATATATACAGAATATGACCTGGTATACTTAGTTTAAACAATGAACTAAATCAAACAATGAAATATACACCAAGAAATATGTTTGTTTTTCTTCATTTAGAAAACCAAAAAAAAAAAATAGAAAAACAATCAAACAATAGATAAATATACTTTATCGTTGACTTAAACCTATACAATGGAATCGATCGATTAGAGTTGCTACGAATAATAATAATACTAATAATCAATTGATTAATTATCATTATTATTATTAATAAGGTTGGAGGTAACTTGTGATTATGTGCTATCCGTAGTATGATTAATTATAGGATAGCACAAAATGAATTACTAGTACAATGTCCTAAATTGTGTTATTATCTATTATAATATATAAAATAATTACACTTAGATATAAGTGATATCATTTATAATATGCTCTATTATGATCCACTGAATAAAAGTGTCAACAGTTATGATTGTCATTTATTATTATTAAATTATTATTTAGTGCAAACCATTGAAAATATTCATAAATGACAAATAGGTATCATATGCTCAAAAAGAAATCAGTTATGAATCAATTATTTCAATATTATTTCTAATTAATTTATAAGTGCTCTGGCGCGAGACTGGTAGGTCCTGAGTTCGAATCTAGTGAAGCGATGTCGTGGATGCGCACTACTGAGGAGTCCCACAATAGGACGAAACGGTCGTCCAGTGGTTCCAGGTTTTCCATTGTGGTTTAGCTTCAATTGACTCACGCTTTTAATTATAAATTGAAATGGTATTCTTAATTTTTATTAGACGTTGGCGGGATACCAGCAGCAATAACCTAATATAGGAGAGAAACAAACCAGCTTCCATCTGAGGAGGAAATTAGGAACAGACACTGGAAGTGAATAAGACATATATTAAAGAAATCATCAAACTGAATCACAAAACAAGCGTTAAATTAGAATTGTGAGGGAAAATGGAAAAGAGGAAAATCAAAAGACACATTACTTTGGGAATCAGAAGCAGGCATTACAAAAATGAATAACGATTGGGAACAACTGGAACAGATTGTTGAGGACAGAGTTGAATGGAGAATGTTGGTTAACGGTCTATTCTCTTCAGGCTCAGGTAAGTAAGTTAATTTCCATAGGAAACAACTTGATTGAAATTCATTCGTAAAACAGAAAATTTGTTGGTAAATAATGAAAATCGTCAACAGATACATTAAAGTTCATGGTTACTTAAGTAAAATGTCACGCATCGATCAATATTTGATACTTATGATATAACTCTGGACTGCTTACTTCTATATAAAATTAATCATTGATATATAGTAAATCCTTTAAGAGTAAAGGATTAAAAGATTGTCTATCAATGACATAACTACAAATTTTTCGTTTCATTATTTACTTTACAAAAGTAAACTTTCTCCATGCAATTGTATGTTTTCTTACCTGATGGTATTCAGCAGCATTCCTAATGTGCACTTGACTTAATCGGGCCAATTGAGAAACATATGTCCAACAACTTTTCACATTACCAGTTAATTCCTGTTTAATTTATGTAAAGAAAATAAATCAACGGAAAATTTAATCAATGAATTGAATTTATCAAATTAATGTAAAGGTCGAACCATGTTAGGTGTGAGATAATCAGACATAAATAATACTGAAATATGATTGGTCAATATTACGGATTGATCGAAGTTAGAAATGTCAATTATTGGATTCTGACTTGGCGATCTAAAGCTCAACTAATCATCTTGAGACTTGGGGGGGTCCTGAATTTGACTCCTGATGGGTATAAATACTGTCAGGCAGTTCCATACAGAGAAATAGCATTTATCTAGTATCTCCTAGACTTAAATGGTTGTATAGATGCAATCAGACCGTGATGTAAGTTATCAAACTCAACAATTTTCATAAACCTTTCATGACATCTATTCAACAGAGTACATTAAAGAATATCTACTCCCATCTTGTCCTTTGACTTTTCAACCGCTTATATCATTGATCTGATTTAAGAATAAATTGACATTCCACACACCAATTCAGTTAGTAAGTCACGTACAGCTTAAGGCCTGTCATTTGTATATCCAGTTGTCTAAATAGCCATACTTAACGCACACAAATTAACTAGGTTAGAATCGGAGAAATTAAAAAGAATTAATAATTATATGAATGATTGTGAAAAATTAAACCTACGAAATGTTAATCTGAGACAAAAAGAATTATGAGAACTTAAGACGTAGGAGACAATAGAGACCGCATATATCATCATTCAAACAGACCAGTCAACCGTAGATGATAATTGTCTTACTGATAACAAACAGAAATTTTATACTTTTCTTTATGGGTCAAATAAATACTTGATGATTTCATGAACTAATGTCGGACCAACGATTACCTTCAACGATCTAGCACCTCAAAATAGTGCACATGATGTAGAGTTATCTAGATTAATGGTCGTATTACAACTTAATCGATAGAATTCAGTTACCATTAAAGGATTAGGCAAAGGTAACACTGATCACCATTAAATCAATTAGCTGATACCATTTGTTGGGTTGAGTATAAGGAGCCTTCTTACAAATTCCATATATTTTAAGCAGTGTTGGACGGTGGCTGGATTTGAGTAACACATAACTCAATAACCTCACTCCATGAGAGTGTATAGCAAATAATTATATATATATATATAATTATTTTCACCAAAAAATGCTCACGACTAGCTTCAAAACTACTCACTCACTGATTACGTCATACACCATTAATGCTTTCAAAACTTATATTATCAAATACTTTCAGCCTATGCATATAATCTAACTTGAAGGCGATGTTTCACAGCTATAAAGAAATCCTGAGAGAACATATGGATTGTACACTTGCCCTTTAATAGACAAACAGACATCTCTCCTGTACAATCGATTCAGAAGTTCTTAAACAACAGATTCTTTACCATCAGTCAATGATTTTATGTGAATTATTATTTGGTTATAACGAAAACATGAAACTGTTATGATTACATGAATACTAAGCGTTCACTATTAAAATTAACGGTGATTGTCATAATACAATGTTACTTTCTCCATTTAAACAAGTTCCACTGTTTCATGAAATAAGAGAATCTTGATTTGTATTACAATATGAACCTTATGTATTTTCCCTCTAAAACAAAAGTGTCTAATGAAATGTGGTTTAGATTAACAAAATGCCTCAAATAATCCATTATTCACAGTTTGTTTTGTTATCCAGTATAGATACGCATATTATGACTCCCTTTAATAACGTATTTCTAGCAGTAACACTTTATTGTTTATGCCTGTACTTATTTGTAAGGAAAATGTAAATGATTTACAATTTTCCCCTTAATTAAAATAAATAGTAGTGAGTAATTTTACTGAGCATTTCACTCATATGCTTCATTAGAATCATTGCGGATAAATCCAGCTAACGAGCCCTAAATAGAGCGAAACTAGTGTCTTGAATTCCATTACAAGCTACTGTCCAAATTTTTTTTTAAAAACTTGTGGATGAATTTCATTATCGAAGCTCAGGATAAAGATATAAGATGGAGGGCTCATCAGCTAATGTCCTTAACATTAACAATCGTAAAATAAAGGTTTCCTATATGTATTGAATTAATATTTTTTAAAAAGCGATGCGTGATCGTGGATGAACACTGCTGAGGAGTCCCACAATAAGACGAAACGGACGTCTAGTGCTTCCAGGTTTTCCATGGTGGTCTAGCTTCAATTGACTCATGATTTCAACTATAGACATTTCAATTATCTACACATAAAGTTCAATGTTCAACTTAAGAATGAGGTTCATGATAAGGAATGATTCGTAGATTCTGTTCCATAGGTTTGAAGATTATTTAATACTTTTTTAAAAGTAAATAAATGAATTTCATTAATTAAACTTTGTACTATCAAATGTAAATAGAATTTTAATTCAGTTTAATGATCTTAGAATTGCATCGATATATATGAGGACGTCGATTAATGAAGTGGAACTTTTTGGAAAAATGAATTTACATGATTTTATTAGAAATTTGCAATCATTTAAATTTATGGTATAGGAGGTTTTTGAAGATCATTTAACCATGTAGTTTATATTGAGGAATGACAAGTGAAAACCAGGAATCAATGGATAAAAATTTTGTTCTAGTATTGACCTCCTTAAGAGTGTACATCCACGACACTGTTATCAGTGGAGGTTGAGTCTAGGACTTTCAGTTCTCTTAAGGAACCTTTACTTTTTAGGTCGTCGAGTTGGTAACCAACTGTTTAAGTTTTGAACTTTAAACAATCTGCAATACTCTCCAGCTATTATCTAATATTATAAGTGTTTGCCTAACTCATACCCAACGTAGGTGAACTTCATTAGAACTCTGAGAATCACCTATTAAAATTAGTCACCAGTGGGTACATAATTTAAACTTCAATGAATAAAAACTTAATCACAACTTTAAACAAACTATTTCGATTTCAAGAGTCGGATAGTATCATCAAGTCTCGTACTTCTTCAGTATCACACAAATCCAAGTACACAAATTTGTACTTCATAACTAAATTTAGATTATGTAATTATAACTATGTAAATTATAGTGTTTGCCTTTTTATTCTTATATAATTAATTAAATTAAGTTCAAGTGTTAAAGTTATTCCTTATTAGTACTTAAAATTTAGTCTGACAAGTATAGGATTAATGATCATTTTTTCATGAACGTTTTCTTCTAAAAATATAATAGTCTACATTATAATAATGACATTACTATCGAGACTGGTAGGTCCTGAGTTCGAATTTCGAGAGGCGGTATCGTGGATACGCACTGCTAAGGAGTCCCATAATGGGACGAAACGGCAGCCTAGTGCTTCCAGGTTTTCCATGGAGATCTAGCTTCAATTAACTCATGACTTCAACTAATTTCAACCAATTTAAAGCTATGATACTAGCTTAATACTACTTTTATTATTCATTAGTAGTAATAGTAGTGGTGGTATACACACACCCACAATAAACAACATACTAAACTGACCCCATGAACTTCATCTTTTATGTAAATTAATCATTGTCATGTTAACTAAAATCATTACTTAGAAAAGATTTTTTTCTATTTAAAGGAAGAAAGAAAAACATGCTAAAACTTACCTTTTTCACATGAACTTCATCTTTTAACTCTTTAGGAGCACTTAATTGTACAGACGTTTCAGTGACATTTTCTGTTAGAACCTAAATAAGAAGATGATTAAATTATGATATTTATATTTTTAACTTACTGTAAATGAATTCTCCAATTGAGATATGGTTTCTAAGTAACGTAATGCTGATGTATTATTCTTCACATCATCCTTAAAATGTTGGAGAAGAAATAAAATATAAAAAAAGGATTATATTTAAGCTAAAAACAAAATATATGGTTTAGTGATTAGTTGAATTACAACAATTATTTCATTTGAAACAATAAATATATTTTAGGCAGAGATGGATGGTGGCTAGCAGTAGAATCCAGGAAGCGCGTTTCGTCTTATTTGGGACTCGTCAATTGGATGTACTTGCATCGAAGAGTTGATATTCACTCTGAGACTCATGTCAAGTACCGTTCGCTCCAAATGTCATCACGTTATTCTGAGTCCAGATAAATATTTGTAAAATATCAGGAAAAAAACACTGTAGGACTTACACGAATCTCAGCTGCTGCTTCAGGTAAATGGGATTTTTGTGCACTCTAAAAAAATAATAATTGGTTGAATGAATAAGTTGGTTAGAGCTGACAATGATAGAAACAAAACTAGATTTTAAAACAATTTAAACTACGTAAGGATTTTAGCTAGACAGCCATTATAATAACACATAGCATTGGACATCTGTATCTTTCTAGTAAATGGCTTCTCATCAATGTACAAATTATACTGCAGAACCACCACATGAACGAATGTTTTAAAGGGGGTGATCTGCTTATATCCATATAAGTAGCATATGATGATGGTCGGACATAGAATGTATTTTGGTAAAAGACCGATAAGGAAAAAACTGAAATGAAGCGTAATTAGTAGGAAAATGCATGAGCAATGAAATTAGAGGAGATGAACTGATATTTACAGAAGGAAAAGTAAAGATTAGGACAATTGGTTGTTATTTTGCAGATTAACTGTTTGCTGTATGGTTATCAGAATTTACTGAGATAGTCTGTAATTTGTTCTTAAATACATCCGGTTGTCCCCCTACCGGTGTTTTGTTCACTACAATACGACCTCACAAGTAATCGAATCTATGACTTTCAGACAATTGAGTTGACATACAGTGATTAGTAAAGTCCTTTCAACACTGACACCGAAAATTTTTATATGAAGACCATTTATCTGTCCAGTTATCTTTTTATTTTCCAATGTTTATACAGTTGGTATTATTCCCTAATCTATTAATCTATCATAATTTTTACAAATATTACATTTTGATAACTTACCGATTGTTGAATATCTTTTTCTAGTTGTATAATTTTTTGTAATAATTCAGCTTGTCTAACACGTTCACTGTCAAGCGCTAAATGATTTACACCTATACATACACCACGTGCTTGACGCTAAAAGAGAATAATCGACAAAGAATTAAGAAGAAATAAAACGAAATAAGTGATGTATATATGTGTGTGCTACATGTTTAAGCATATTATTTTCATATATTTAAAATAAATTATGATATTTTTTATTTTTGGGTAGTGATTAATTATCGATTGTAAGACATGAGTTTCATCTTTTTTGGGGACTTATCAACAGGGTGTAACTGAACATCTTAGTGTTGATGTTCTCACTGAGACTTGAACACATTGTCTTTATATTCAAACAAAAATATAAATTTTTACAAATAAGATTATGATATGTTATTATGTCAAATTTATAATGAAGTAACTAGGTATAAAGTTAAGAGAAATTATCTTTGATAACTAGTGTAATTCTGTTACTTTGCAAGTAGATTTTTTTATCGTTAATAGATATATAAATAGTTGAAATCATGAGTCAGTTGAAGCTAGACCATCATTGAAAACCTAGAACCATTGAACGGCCGTTTCGTCTTATTGTGGGACTCCTCAGCAGTGCTCATCCGCGATCTTGCTTCGCGAAATTCGAACGCAGGACCTACCAGTCTCGCGTGCGAGCACTTAACCGATAGACCAATGATATATAAATACATTTTCATTGTCTAATAAAGGTTGTTTGAAATATCACTTAAATTTTTTTACAAGTGAATAACATAACTTAGATTGTGTAATTTATTCTATTTACAACTAATTCCATATATATATACCTTCAGTTGGGCCACAGCTATCAAAAACTTCGACTCGATCTGAGAAACATTCACAGTAAATTATCTCCACGTCTTAAGTGCTCTTCGACTTGTAAAGTAGATGAATGTAGCCAAATTGAAGTAAGATGTACTTTAATATATTAATTACATACTAATTTTCAAGTATCACAGATTATGGATTTTTTTTTGAGAAATAATTTTGTTACTCATCAATGATGTAAACTGTTGATACATAAAATACTTCATGTGTATGTCGGCTTTTTTTCTCATAAAAACATCGCAATCAATTCATTAACACCATTTGCCACAGTTTAAATAAAAGAATAATTTAAATAGATCTGTTCATTAACATTTGTGTTACTCCAAGAGCAATAAGAAAATATCATATTCATTTATGACTATACCTTAATTGTTTAAATGAATTATTTTCTATTCCGAAAATGTGACACAGTTTTTAGGAGTGAAGAAGAAGCGGCTTAAATTAAGTGACGAAATGTTGTATCCTGTGAAGAATTATGAATGGTAACTTTGAGGACTATTTATGGGCCAATGTTATATGTATATTTCCTATTGTAAAATTGATAAGTAACTTAACTATTCATATTTGCAGAAGCTGTTATCGGTGTTTTGGACTTAACTGGCTGAGCTAGGCAGATAGCAGGGCCGATACGCACTCTAGACTGTTAGTACAATTTTTCGTGTGTCACTGTCCTAATCGATAATTCGCTGCTCCCTAATTGGAGGTTTTATCACGTCATACGCTAACAGGGCATCCACTCGGCCACAAGTTATAACAAGAAATAAAACTTTTCTACTCACAAAAAAAGTATAATTATTATTAACGATTAGTTAACTTAATAATTTATATATAACATTATAAAAGACAAATAAAATTAGTGTTGATGCTTACCTCGAAATCGGTCAGTCGAGCTTGAAGACTTTCAGTAGCTACATGAATTTGGATAAATAATTACAATGAAAAAAAATTTAATAAAAGTACTATTATTTGAATAAAAACAATCTTCGAACAGCTGTTTCACTGTTGCATAAAAAAGTTATTCAATGGTTTCTTAAAAGACAATTTTTTTTTCATTTTATCAAAAAAGTTGCGGTATAAATTATATTATATTAATCAATAAAGCAGAATTCCTAATGTTTATAAGACTTAAAGGAGGTTTCAATTTCCGTATACCCAAGGTTTATTGAAGCCTTGGTTATACGGAAGTGGAACCCCCCCCCTCCCCTTTATGTGTTCCAACACAATTTGCTCTTAATTTTAACCTACCCTGATAATGCTAATTTATTATCCAGAGTGGTCATCACATTGTTTTTGTTTACTTTGTTTATAAGACTGTTTAACAGTTAACATTACTATTATAAATAATAAATAACAAATAATTTGGTAATTCGTTAAACAATCAAAATCTACTGTAAAACAGTTTCATTTGTTGTGAAGAATTTCCTGTTTGTTTGAAGTCTATATATATATACTCCTCAACTTGAATTAACAGTTTCCTTTCATTTAACTGCCCATGTTTCTTCTATGTAATAACACTGATGAATACACATGTAAACATATATACACTTCTACCATTCTTTATCTAAGTGATGAAAATCCATAGTTTATCTTTCAACAAAAATGATCTTGAGAATGATAAATTTCCTAAAGATCAATGAATTAGCTTTCATTCAACATATTGAGTAGTTTTTCTTTGATACATACTGTCCTGCAGTATTAAAACGATTATCAGTCAATTTCATCGATTCAATTATTAATGTGTAATGGATATGTTTCGATAGGTAGAAAGTCCAGAATCATATATATTCGTACTATATGTGCATTTCACCGAGCTATGTATATTAAAATACCTCGTCTACAAGCGTCGATCCCATTGTAGTGAACAGAACACGACTGGGGACAATCGAATGTATTTAAGCAAACATTACAGACTATCTCGGTAAATTCTGATAACCAAACAATGAACAGTCAATTTGCAAATTAACAACCAATTGTTTCAATCTTCACTGTTTCTTCTCTAATTCCATTGCTCATGCATTTTCCAAACGATTGCGTTTCATTTCAGTTCTTTCCTCATCGGTCTTCTGCCAAAATACATTCTGTGTTTGTCCCACACCACATACTACTTATATAGATATAAGTAGACAACACCACACCATCAGTGAATGAATTGATACGGAAATGATCTTTGAACAAAACAGGTTATTATTTTGCTAATTACACATTTAAAAATGTTGTAACGTCTAGTCTATATTTCTTTGATTTGACAAATGTATTTTTAATGCTTTTTAAAGAATCCTTATTCAGTGTTAATAAGACTACTACTGATAATATTAAATAATAGTAGTAGTACTAGTAGTAGAAGACGAATAACTGAAAGAAACTCATCACAAGTCAAGTGAATATTGTTTTGTTATATGAGAAAATCCGTAATGTAATCGATAGTTTTCTAATTTTTCTTAAAATATAAATGGTGATTCTAATATGTTGTTTGAATAAAACTTACTACATAATCCTGTATTCATTAATAGTATATATGACCTCAAAGTCAAACCATAACTGACTTTTTGCTCATCTATTTGTTTTGAATGACTAATAATATAGGTTATGGTTCAATGTTTTAACGCATTCAGTAAAATATATACTTTTAGTGACTTGTTGATTGATTAAGTAAATAACACTGTATCTAGGGTAATTTTACCCATGAATTTAACCATTACATTGTAGTCTCTCAAATTGAACATACAAATCTATGCTTACATAAGTCTATACAAGATTATAAATTGTTCATACATTTAAAAGTCTTAAAATGAATAACAAAATAACTATTCTATATTTTTTGTGATTTAAACAATCAGTTGTTGGTTCTGTTATTGTCTTCTTGAAACTCCTTAATAATTCTTTTGAATAATTCTTGTTATCTTCATAGTTGAAATCATGAGTCAATGGAAGCTAGACCACCATGAAAAGTCTGGAAGCACTAGACGGCCGTTTCGTCTCATTGTGAGACTCCTCAGTAGTGTTATCTTAAAATTTGTTATCTTAAATTTTCAATTAAAATTTTTTTTTAAAAAAAACAATCTATTCTATACATTGAAAAATAAATCATAGCGAAACATTACTTACCCATTATTTCTTAATGTATTATGAGTTGAATGTTAAATATTGAACGGAGGAATGATTCAAACAACAAAGAAGAAATAAAAACTGGAGCTTGATTGATTGTAACGTATACGAATGTTGTTATTTGTTTATTGTTAAAATTTGACTCCAATATCAGTGTAGCTGAGCAGTAATTCCAGGACAATAATTAGTTATAGCCTTGTATCAATAAATATGTATAATGTTGGAGAAGATTTGTAGCTCAGGTATATGTATAATAATTCAATAAAGGAATTGAATAAAGGTAAGGAACAAACAAAAATAAACTAGATATAAATAAGTATTTCCTAATTGATATGTAAATAATATTACAATACTGATTGTTGAATATTGTCTTTCGAAATTACAAAATAGTTGATGTTTATCACAGTCTTTCTTATCCTTTCCTTCCTTTGTTAATCAATATAGAATTAATGAAATGTTTTTTCTTCTCAAAGAAGTAAGAATACGAAATGATAATCGGTACAAATATGGAGAAGAAAAAAAAATCAAAGGAAGAAAGAACAAGTGGTTAACATGCAGAAATAAAGAACACAAATGTTTCTAGTCGAAAGATATCTACCAGAATTCAATGTTTTATATGTAATAAATATTCCGACAGTAGACAATTAGACAATAGAAGATGATCACCTATACACACATAGGCAGCGACACAATGAGAAAGATGAAATTATGAATTAACAGATGAGTTGAATGAAAATTGCAGAGATTGTCAACTTGTTAAAGAATAATAATGAAAATATTATTATTATTATTATACTTCCGAACTGGATTGAATCGAAAATTAGACTGATGTTTATAACAATGATAATAATAATAATAATAATATTCACTTCTCCTTCTTAGTTAATCTCTACTAACTGCCATTTGAATGTATTTGCTACACAATGAGTAAACACCATCAAAGTTCTAATTTCAATTCTATATTATTATGCCTTTTTATAAAAATCAGTCTAATTGTATATTGAATAATTGAATTGTGTTATTTAATTTAGTGATCATTCATTGAAGGAATGTGTCTGTGCATAAAAATCCACAAATCGTATCGTTACAAAGCTTCTGTTTGTATTGTCGATTGAGAGCAAGCGAGAGAGAGAGAGAGAAAGAGTACACACGTTGTATGTTTATGTACTCTCACCAAAATAGGATGTTATTCACATACATACATACTTTCATTTATTTTACCACTCATATAATAATACCCGTCAAATAAGAAGAAATAGTTTAGTCTTATAAAATGTAGGGTTAATGTACATTAGACTTAAATATAAGATGATGAGTGCATAGTCCAAATTTGAAACTATTTGCGTAGGCGATCTATATACCAAAAGTTTAACTTTAAAAGAAAAGAAAAAATATTCGTCTTCTATATCTCCACATTTTTTGTCAGTTTGTTATGGTATTTTCTATTCATCATTATAAATCATTTTATATTATATATTGGTTAACTGACACAAATACTGTCTCAAATCGATCCAGTTATTAGTAGATTTGGTTACTAAGACGGTATAGTGTATGTGTGTGTGTGTATGTGCGCATATGTGTGCCAACTATACTGGATATTGAATGACATAAACACTAATATAGGAAGGTGTACACAATACAAAACAAATTTAAAATTTGATACTCATTAAATAAGCATAAGATTCGTGAATTAGATTATAAGAGAGCACACAAGAGTGAGAGAGTGACAGAGAAAGAGAGCGAGGTAGAGAGTTGTGCACAAAGCCTATGAGCATAAATTCACACTAAATGGGTACATATATCTATATACATTTGCATACATATATAAATGCATAGAATAAGGAAAGACAATATGTTTATTGAAATAAAAGAAATACATAACATTCACATATTTTATACAATATTACATATATATAATACAAACATCTCAATGAAACTGGCGTATATGAATGTCTGTGCCAAATCGATTCACCTTATATCCTATTACTATTATCCGATTATATTTACTATAAAATAATGTTAAAAATTACTATTATATTATATAAGATTAGAATAATAGAAAAGTCATTTGAGTATGCTACTTAATATAAAATCATCATTAACTTTATCAATATTAGTACTAATAAATATTTACAATCTAAGTTATTGTATTCACTTTATATTGCTTGTTTGAATCTTATTATTGATGTTTAGGACTGCAACTGATCAGTCACTCATTGGTATATGTGCATACTGTGTGTATTGCCTCGATATTGCCTTAATTCACAAGTATTATAAGCAAAGATGGATAGTGGCTAACAATGAAATCCAGGAAGCGCGTTTCGTCCTATTTGGGACTTGTCAGCTGGATGTACCTGTATCTCAGAGTTGATGTTCACTCTAAGACTCAAACCCGAAACACGCGTCCTGGATTTTATTGCTAGCCACTAGACATCTTAACATATCTTACAGATTCGAAAATAAACATTTTAACGTTAAATCATTCATATAGTTCATTTTCAACCAATCAAAAAACAGGTTTTATAAATAAATGTCTTATAAGAAAGAAATCAATAGTGTTGCAAAAAGTGGACTGATTTCTATGTAATTGATAAATCTATTAATAACTTCTATAGGTTTCTCAGTCAGTAGATTGGGAAAATAACTACACATAAACTTTCTTTTACGGATATAGAATATTCAACCTTTCTAACATTTATAAAGACCTAAACAAATTTTGAAGTGTCCTTGTATTGTTCCTAACTAGGGTTAGGTATTTAGACTAAGGATAAGGGGTTTAGGGTTGAAGTATTAATCACGAATTGATATCAACTATGATGTAAATATACTCTATCGATATATGGATGAATGGATTTCGTTCGGAAATAGACGAGGCTCTATCTGATTGGTTCGTTCATAAACTATGGTTCCACCTGGTTAAATTTTTTTCAAAATTAAGAATTTAGATTTCAGATTTAGGGACATAGACAATTTACTAGTTAAATCTGATCTAGGGAAACAGGATTAGGCATTTCATATGTTGGACACTAACATTTTCACTCTGTAATGACAAGAAGTAACATTTTGCTATTATTTTAAACGTTTTGAACAGTATACGAAAGTATTTCTACTGCTCGTTATATATGATATTTGAATTTCATGCGAAAACCTAAGAATTGCGTTCTTCATTCTGATTTTTTTGTCTCTAAAGTATGCTTTTAGCAGACCTTCTCTTGTCAGAATTGATGCAATAAAGAGCACTGCTGAATAGTCCGTACATACTTATCACTATCATTAAGAATAAAATCTCAATGTTTCGAAGCATTTATGTTTTAACTTTCAGAAACTGATAACAATCTTTTTGACCCAAATATTTTCATTTTACAACATATATACCCTGTTTAAATAATTCAAATACACTTCTGCCTGAAGTTTGTGCTAATGATGTCGTTCAGAAGAACGATGAAAACTCCATGACTAAACCACCCAGCTCAGAAAACAAAACTCTACCTAAATGATCCACCTGAGCTAAAAATCTTCTGCACCATCTCAAAAGACTAGGAAATTACGATATTAGTTATTATTTATACGATCGATCAGTGTATACACCACGTACAGTATGCACATATGCTAATTAGAGACTGACCTGTTGCAGTCCTAAACATCAATGGGAAATTTCAAACAAGTAATACAAAGTAAATTCAAACTTCACTACCAGTTTATCTATTCAATATAGTTTACTGGATCATAAGTCCGTAAATCATATAAATTTTGAATGCTTATTGAAATTTTATAATTGATAAGTGAGATACGAACCTTAAATCTGAAGGTTTTCGTCAATCGATTACAGAAAGAGAATAATCCTAAAGTGGCTATCAGGACTCAGTAGTTAAGTGGATAACGCGATGGTGTTTGAAGCGAGCGGTACTGGGTTTTAGTCCCAGAGTGAACATCAACTCTGAGATGCAACTACATCTAGTTGACGAGTCTCAAATAGGAGGAAACGTGCGTCCTGGATTTCACTGCTAGTCACTATCCATCTTTGCTTACAAACCAACATAATGTTTATATAAGATTACTGATGAATAAAAATATTTTAATTAAATTTATCAGGATATAAAATCTATTTTTAATGATATTCATTAGAAATATTAGTTAATAAAAGTGAAACCGTTTTCTTTTGTTCTTGTTGTTGTTTAAACAATAAAGAGCTTGACTTACTAACAAACTTTAAAGTAAAAAAAAATGCACCCAAATTCCAGAGTTATGCATGAATACCTGCATTGCCGTCTTTGAATTTGTGTATATGAGTATGTATGTGTATGTTTAAATGTCAATGAAAGAAACTGTAATGTTGAACAAATGTGTTCAATAATGAAAAATGTATCAATCAATTAAAACAAAATGATCTAGAAAAGTTTACTGTTAACATAGAAATTATGGTAAAACAACATGTTGGTAGTTGAGGTAAGATGGTAGTTGGAGGTGGTCAACAGGAAACCCTGGACCCGGGTTTCGTGCTACTTGGCACTCGTCAGCAAGGTGTACCTGTAATCCTGAGGGAACTGATGCTCCCTGGCGGATTCGATCCCGCGTCACTCAGCTTCACAGTCAGAGACGTTACCACTGAGCTATTCGGGCCGCGACCAACCTCCTGTAGGACTGAGATGTAATCACAATTGATTGATCACTGGGTGGTGATCAATCTCATGCGTGTCAGGTCCTTCTTAGTGCTGATCGAATGCTATCGATCGAGTTGCAATGTGACCACCAGTCTAGGTGGCTCGACACTGCTTGCACTATGTATATTGAGGTAAGATGGTAGTTGGAGGTGGTCAACAGGAAACCCTGGACCCGGGTTTCGTGCTACTTGGCACTCGTCAGCAAGGTGTACCTGTAATCCTGAGGGAACTGATGCTCCCTGGCGGATTCGATCCCGCGTCACTCAGCTTCACAGTCAGAGACGTTACCACTGAGCTATTCGGGCCGCGACCAACCTCCTGTAGGACTGAGATGTAATCACAA